TTCGCAGAGCTGGGGTGGGTGTGGACTGCGCGTGACACATCTGGCCCGTGGGCTGCCAGTTTGACACCCCTGATTTATAACATGCAAAAACCCGAGTACCTCCATGCGGTCAAGTGTAGTGCGACTGCTTCGGACGATGCTGTTGCTGTAGGCTCTAAAGCTGCTCTGTTCTGAGAGTGGGCCGTAGCGCTGGGCCAGAAGCTGACTGCGTAGTCGCAGGTATTGCTTACGAAGCAAGGGATCAAAGCCTGCTTTAGCGTTGTCCCGCAGCAACTGGCTTCGTCTGCGGATGTATTGTGTACGGAACTGAGGGAAGTTTGGGGTGCGGTATGCGTTGTATCTGCAAGGCAAGATGATGCATTAGCTGCCTGAAACCTCAGCCAATAGTATCCTTGTTGAATTTAACCTTCTCTTTTGCTTATCATCATTCTGAGTTTCCACTAACTGAGAGTATAAAATTCTCTGCAGCACAAAGTCCTATGGTCATTTCAGTACTGTGCTGTAATCACATCAGTATGCATTTAAGTCCACTAAATGAAAAACACTGATTTAGAATAAAGTTCCTTCATTATTCCTTCCCCATCAGATAAATCTTCCCTCTCTCAAACGATAACACTTTGTTCTCAAAAATCAAGATGGCAGAGAGTTTTTTTTCCCATTTCTCAGGTCATATCCTCAATGTTAATTCTTAAACTCATAATGTACTACTAAACTATAATCTCTTCATAGGAATAAAATCTCAAGATTTATGAAGCTTTGTTCTCAATAATGTACTTCCCTGAACAGCAATTAAGAACAACCTGTCCTGTATACTTCACTTATTTGTAAGCATGTATGCTAGAATTATATCTTGCATTTTTTGTTCAGAAGCTCAAGATAATATATATAGTTCTCCCAATGCACTCCATAACAACAATCCTGTGAGGTAGGGTAGGCTGAGAGACAACAACTAAGTCTGATAGGAGGTTTCATGGCTCAATGTACATGAGCCTGGGTCCCAATCTAGCATCTTAACCACTACACCATATTGGCATACTTTCTTTTCCTTGTTGTTTAAGCCACCTATGCATCCAACCTAGGAGCCTCACCGTGCATCTACAGCCAACACTTGTTGCCACACTGCTGCCATGCCCCACACCGCCACTGACCGCTCAGGGGAGCTGGTAACTGGGTGCCTGCAAAGAGTAAAAAGAACTTAAAGGTCAGAGAAGGGTTTACAATGGGAAACAGTGTAATACAATTCCATTTTTCAATATGCAGTTTCAGCTCTAGTAGGATCAATCGCTAGGATCAAATCCATGTATTCAGGATGACCATCTTTAAATTGTGTTATAAATTTATCAAATGTATATAATAACCCACCTCACCAAATCAATTCTGGGCAGCGTACAAACAATTTGATAAAAACAACAAATGTAAAACCATCAAATATAAAATATAAACACCAGAGAAAGTACATCTCCTGAGACCCACCAAATATAGGTTCATAGCCAATGGTCCCTATGCAGCATGCTTACTCTGTCAGATCTGATAGGCTGATATAACAAGGCTGATAAATTTGAGACAACAGTTTGAGACAACAGAAAATGTACATCCCAATGCAATATGAGAGTTCTGCAGCAGGCTCTGACGAACGAATTTCAACAAATGACAAGTCACTACTATTAATGGCAATTTTGTGTGTGTGTGTTTGTGTGTCTGTCTACCTACCTACCTATCTATTCAGATTTTCTGCTGAATGCCAATTGTAAATCACAGACTTATTACTGCACATTTCCACCCTCACCTCCACCCAGAGGAAAGAAATGTTAGATTTTAAATTGAGGAGCAGGGATATCTTTTTCCACATACTGGCAACTACAACATAGGAGTAAATAAAGGCCTGATATTTTTTTTTCATGATTCCAGAACAGCAGTAACAAAACTGATTCAGGCCTGCCCTATCTCTTCTGCATTGATGAATGTTGATCTACGGTAACACATCTGGAGGACTCAGGTTTGGAAGACTGCATTAAAGAATCCGCACTCCAGTGATCTTCACACCGCAGTTGGGCAAAAGGGAGGTTTGTTTTTTAAGTAGGAACTTAGCTATGCTTACAACAGCATATCTAAATTAACCAAATCCAGGCCTCCACAGGGCCTTGTGTGAGCTCTACCACTTCTTCACCTCTCTCCAAACAGCATCCTATTTTTGTCAGAAAGATTGCCTAAAGCAGCCTAAATGACAGAGGTTGGCAAAAGGTTGGCCGATTCTCTATCATATGTTATTATTCTGCCAATGACAGATAATGGTCTATGGTGTGGGGGGAAGCAGAAGAAAAATGGAATCATGCTCAAGGAATGTTACGGGGGGGGGGGGGAGACAATCATGGCAATCCCATTGATTAGATGGAAGGAAGGAAGGAAGGAAGGAAGGAAGGAAGGAAGGAAGGAAGGAAGGAGCGATGCTTTTCATGGCAGAATGGAGTCAGGGTTCCCCCCTCCCCCCGGGGAGAGAAGGGAAGAGGATCGGGAGGGAACACACCTTCCAAGGGAGGCAAAAACCACCAGGTCTCCATGGTGACCACAACATTAGAAAGGAGAGGCCAAAAAGACGATGGAGAAGCATCAAGACTGTCTCGTTTCCATGGCGACAGGCCCCGGGGCTGCCTATTATGGGGTGCCTGCGGAAAAAATCAGCAGCCAGAGAAGAGCTGCAATCCGAAAGGTTTCGGGAAAGTTGTATCAGGATCGTACCTGAAGCGGCTCCCGGTTTCCCAAACCTGGCGGGGGTGCCGGCGGCGGCGGCAGCAGCAGCGAGAACATCGGAAGGGAAAAAAGAGGGAGGGAGGCGGAGTCCGGATGGCTTCAGGCCGGCGGCGGCGGCGGCGGCCCCGGCGCATGCGGGCGTCTCCATTCCCTCCCTCTGGGCGCGCCAAGGAAGAGCGGAGGCTTCAGTAGGAGGGAGAGCGCTAGCAAGATGGAAATTAGGAGTAGGAACTACGATCGTGGCTGCGCGCCTCCTCGATAGAGTGACAGCAGATAAGCCAAGGAACAGATCCCGAGAGAAACTGGAATGATTCACAAGGCTACAAGTTGTGCATATTCCTCTTAACATTATTTTCACCTTTGGGTGAATGGCAAACAACAAGGAAGCACGATCTACGACCTACTACTACACGATTTATACACTACTCTTTGCCTACCGACGAAGTAAGCAGTCACAGTGAGCTAAACCTCCTGACCAGGCTTTACATGCCAGGCTTTACATGCAAACACAAAGATATGTATGTCAGGGAGCCAACCGTGTCAAGCTACTTCTGCAAAGCTTGGCAAATTATCCACTTGAGACCACATGATTTCATAAGGAACTTACTGGAATTTCCTCCAGCCCCGAATGTCACAGCGACTGCCACTCAGGTTACTCTTCTGCTTCTCCAATGTCCCAGCCATGGCTGGTTCAGATTCCAGGGAAAACCACCCTCCCAGCTAAGTTGCAACCTGGGCCTTTGTAGAGAGGGTGGAGTTGTTTTCAAAATTCGACAGTAAAAGAGGCCCAACTTCATTCCTGATGTATCTTCTATCTCAACTAGAGTACCTGACTAACACTATTAAACTACAGCTCCACCCATCCTGCTTCTCTAGTGAACCACTCCTATTCCCACTTTTTCAGAAACACAGTCTCATTGATTTTCAGCATTTACCGTATCTGCCAGCATCTTAGATCCTCAGAAAGGCAAAGGTATAACTAAAGTTTACACATGAATTATGACTTCGAGACAAAATCGGAGTTCAGTGTTTATTTTCCAGCAAGGAGAGAAATGGAGAACCAGTAATTCCATGCCCTTTTGACTGGGAGTAAGGCAGATTCTTCCAAATGTGTGTCCTCTAGACTAGAGAGATTCAACTAATCAGTGCTAATCACTCCCACCCAGCCTCAATGGGAGTTGTAATCCACACTATATAGAGAACAGCTGATTGAGAAAGTCTGAAAATTAAAGCAGCCTTTGATTATACAATCTGGGACTTTAAAAATATCCGTACAGCTGAGTTGTATGTAAAATATTTAGATATCCATAAGTGAAATTTCCCTTGATCTATGCTGTTCTCATGGCCACTCTTAAGAAAGTGCTTTGCCATTGCAGGCAGTCCTCGACTTACAACCACAATTGAGGCCAAAATTTCTGTTGTTGAGGGAGACATTTGTTAAGTGGGTTTTGTCTCATTTTACAAACTTTCTTACCTCAGTTGTTAAGTCAATCACTGCAATTGAGAAGTTAGTAAGACGGTTAAGTGAATCCCGCTTCCCCATTGACTTTGCTTATCAGAAAGTCGCAAAAGGGGATCACGTGACCTTGGAACACTGCAGCCGTCATAAATAAGAGCGGCTGAAATTTGATTATATTGGTCGTAGAAAATAGTGAAAAAATTGTGAAAAATAGTCATAAGTCACTTTTTTCAGTGACGTAACTTTGAATGGTCACTAAATGAACTGTTCTAAGTTTGAGGACTACCTGTACCACCTGTAGATTTTTCTACAGAGGCTCAGAATAAAAGTGGTTGAGTCTTGCCTATAATAGGTTCCAAGCTATGTGAAAAATCTTGTCTGGACATCCCCCCCCCCTTGCAAACGCTGCTCTTTTCACTGGGCTCTCCCATTCGTTGCAACTTTTATTCTGAATTTTGTTCCCAAGCTGCCTTCTCTCCCTTGCGGAGGTACAAATAGTATCATGCTTCTTCGCTATATTATTTTGTTCCTATTTCCGGCTGAACATATCATGCAGGCTATCCCGTATCGTGGCGCCTAAAGCCCTAATGACGCAATCTCTTTCCGCAGGTTCCGCAAGCGCTTTGGAGAAATGCAATCCACCCGCTCCTTGCCGACCTCCTCAAAATGGAGGAGCCGTCAGTCTGCCTCGCACACTCGGAGTTTATTTCGACCTAGTCACTCCTTCCATCCAATCACGCCGCAGTTCAGACCTTCTGGGGGTGGGCCTATTAAGCCTTTCGAGCTCTGATTGGTGAGTTCGGCGGGACGCCTTGTCAAGAAAGAGTCATTGAAAGAAAGGCGGGAAGTTCTAAAAAAAAAAATATGATTCGGTCGTCCGTGGATGCCGCGGTTGGAGAAACGATGGAGGCGGAAGCGACAGCGGTGGAGTAAGTACGCGTAATATCTCTTTCGCGGGGAGATCGAATGACGATTCCCTGTTTTCCTGTCCCGCAGGAATGCATTTTACCCGAAGTAGAAAAAAATAATAATCAGAAGGCGCCTAGAGCAGTGCTTTTGCAACCATGGCAACTTCAAGGTGTGTGAACTTCGACTCCCAGAATTCCCAGCCGGGAATTCCAGGTTGGCAGTTCTGAGAGTTTGGAAATCCGTATATCTTGAAGTTTCCAAAGTTGAGAAACATTGGTAAACTGCAAAAGAGAGGCCGAAAGGGTTAGGGAACTTTAGGTTTGTGTGCTTAGAGGGCTTCCATTCTCCAATGGCTGGTTTTCCATATGCTGCATTTGGGAGCCTGGCTTAATAAGATTATGGAGTTTGGCACCGAAATATAGTTGGGATCACCTCCCTTAGATAAGGAGATATTGAAATTCCTAGCATTGGAATACAGATATGGATTTTTAGAACTTTGTTACTTGATGAAACTTTTAAAAAAAAACACTGCCGTAGAAAAATAAAATTCCTTGGGGTCTTGTGAATAACACTTCCTCCTATTTTTAGAACAGGAAGTATTCTTTAATAGTTGATGCTTTAAAATAATCCCGTTGCAGAAGCAAAATAGCCACACAACCAACACCTCCATTAAAATCATTACAAAATCTCTTGCAGAAACTACTGTTTTTTGATCAAGCATCAGTCATGTTAGGTTAACTTTGCTTCATTATATTCATTCATTTAATTAAGTTAGTGTAATGGTCCTTTCCTTCCCCATCCTCTTAAAATCACAGCTTTAATATTTTGGTATTCTCTTCTTGCAATAGCTTTGAGATAGTTAAGTGGCCTCAAAACTGTCTTTTCCATGTATTTTCACAATGAGATACATGTAGCATTTTGTAAAAATGAGAAACTCCACCATTATAAAGGAAAAGATCTTTTTGATTCTTCCAATCAACAGTCTTCCAATATTTGAAGGGCTGTCACCGAGAAGAGGGGGTCAAGCACAAGCACATGAAGGGCAGGACAAGAATCAAAAGATGGAAATTTATCAAGGAAAGAACTAAACAGAAATTTCCTGGCAATGAGATAAATTAATCAGTGGAACAGCTTGCCTCCAGAAATTGTGGTGCTCTGGTCCTGGGAGTTTTTAAGAAGAGATTGGACTACCATTTGTCCAGCATCTCCTGCTTGTGCAGGGGGTTGGACTAGAAGACCTCCAAGGTCCCTTTCAATTCTAATATTCTGTATTCTCATATTTTTCCAGTTGTGTGTAAAAGACAATTGCATTTTTTAGAAAATATGTTAATCCATTTTTTTTAATAGAATGAGTCTGCCTCAGAAGTTGGCTGGGAGTTTCACAGTGACATTGAGGATAAGGACAGACAACTTTCCTTGTTGCATATGTAAATTGTGCAGTCACTGGAGAGTATTAGTTATATTCTGGATTTTGCTTTCAGTTAGAATATGGCAAGAGTGACATCTAATACATGAGAACAGTAGCAGACGATCTGCATGGTTTTTCCCAGCTCTCTTTTTGACTTCCTCAGAGGTTCCTCTGGCCATAATTACTGAAAACTAACGGCACATTTTCCTACCATATTAAGGTGGAAATACATAAGAACGCACTACAATTTTAAGTCCTCAAGTAGATAAATCACAGAAATCCTGCCTCTCCCACATATGTGATGAGGCTCCATACACTATATGGTCTTTGTTTCCATATGTTAAGGATGGTGATTGGCCACTAAACTATAATCAATATAGCAGATAAGTCATGTAAAAGTGTTTTTAAGAGATTTAAAGATTTGGAAGTGACTATTTTCTTTATATCCTGGTTGTTTATGTCCTCTTCAGGCTTCTATCTCAGATCAATGATATTTTAACGTATGAGGATCAAACCACAAGTGAAATGAAATTGGAATTACCAGCCCAGGTCTTGGCTGAGCATGCAGTGGTGAGTGATAGCCTCATTTTCTTTTAAGTTGTTGTCTTCAGTTCTGGATTTCTTAAGAACTAGTTCCATTCCTGCTTTTGGAACGTATTTTCCAGAACACTAGAAAGACTCAGAAGCTGATGTACACCCAACTACAAGTGCTTAAATTCCTTCTGGATTTTCTTGACTCTGCCCCTCGCATCCAGAATGCCTCTGACTCTGCTGTTCGTGAGTATTAGGGCTCTGCAGATTGCATGCAGTGGTGTGATGCAAATGTGGTCTGGGTAAGAGTGTTTCTGTTTTAACAATAACATTTTAAAAATGAAGCCGTTCTACAGAATGGATTATTCAATCCTTGTTCCATCTTCTGGAATTCCTGCCTAGGATCAAAGACAAGGTCTGTTTTCCCTTGGGCTTTCTCTTGCGGTAATCTCTGACTGTCTTCAGTGCCATGTAACATCTGAGAACTGTTTTCAGAGACAATTTAGGAGGACTAGGCAAGATTTTGAGCAAGTTGTGTGTACTTTTATTCAACTGGTGTGGGTTCTCAAATTGTACATGCTGATTTAACCCTGACTAAATGAACATCCATCCTTCCTGGAAGATTGGAAGCATGTCTGTGAGACGATCCATTCTGGATCAGACCGCAAGGCCTCTCTTGTTCAACATTTTGTTTCTTTGCTGGCCTGTCAAATCCTTTTGTGAAGTCCCAAAGCAGTCAAGAAAGCAGTAGCATCCCACACAGCAAACAGAGAAATGTACTGCTTCTGTTACTAGAAATAATAATATGGAACTACCATGACAGGCCTCAATAGCCCCACCTTATTAAGAATGTTATTTTCCACCAATGTATCTTCCCGGTTATGGATAGTTTGAAAACCCCAGCTGACATCAGGATTCTCCTGAGCTATTTCAGGCTCCAAAACAGATTGTGGTCTCTTGCAGGGAAAGAGATGGAAGAAGCCAAAAAGCAATGGAAGGTGCTCAAAGCAGATTACCAGCAACAGGTGGAAGCTATCAAGGGGACTGTGCCTCAGATACTGGCCAAACAGGAGGAGGTACAGGGCCGGGCTCGGCTTTTGGAGGAGGCCCTGCAGCGCTACCGAGCAAAGGTTCTTTTCTGACTTAGGAGTGATATTGGGGAGTCGGGGGGGAAATAGTTGAGGTTCAGAGTGGTGGTCAAATATTTGCCAGCACCCAAGATATCAAGAATATTTAAGTATTGCATATCATAATATATATATAACCTGCTGTTCTGTTTAAATCCGGGTTTCTCAATTTCAGCCACTTTAAGATGTGTGAACTTCAATTCCCAGAAATTCCCAGCCAGTATGCTGAGGACTGAGAAACACTGGTTTCAATGAATACTTACATTTACCATATTTTTTGGGGTATAAGACACACCGGAGTATAAGACGCACCTTAATTTTGGGAGAGGAAATCAAGAAAACAAGAATTCTACCTCTGCCTACCAGCATTTTGGAATGGTCTGGGGGGAATCTGCCTGGCAGCTTCGGGGAACAAGGCGGGTGCCACGATTTGCAGCTGGTCACCGCAGCTTAGGGCAGGTAATGGCCACAATGACTTCACTCCCCTGCAATGTAGGAGCTGCCGCCTAAGCCCTCTGCGCCCAGGAGCTGAGTGAGCCGAATGAGAGCTCCTAAAGAAAAACACCCCTCCTTTCCAGCCACCGCTGCCCGGATTCCCCAATGCAATAATCAGAGCCGCGTTTCAGGCGGCGGGCGGCCAGTTCCCCTGCAATGTGCAGCGGGGAACTGGGAACCGTTTTGGATTCGGGGAGGGGATTGCAGCGCTTCCGCCTGAAAGTGCTTTTCTTCCCATTGCACATTCCCAACAGAGGGGCGTTTTTCTTTAGGAGCTCTCGTTCGGCTCGCTCAGCTCCTGGGCACAGAGGGCTTAGGCGGCATCTCCTACATTGCAGGGGAGTGAAGTCATTGTGGCCGTTGCTTGCCCTAAGCTGCCTGCTGGGCGGCCAGAGGGGTGACCAGCCGCAAATCGTGGCACCCGCCTTGTTCCCTGAAGCTGTCTGGCAGATCCCCGCCCCCCAGACCATCCCAAAGAGGGTTGTTCCTCAGGCTGTGCCCCGACCCAGATCCCTGCCGCCTGGAACTGCCCGAAAATGGTCGAAGAATGGGGGCCGGTGGGTGGGCGGGGCTACATTCGGCGTATAAGACGCACCCAGATTTTCACCCCCTTTTTGGGGGTAAAAAGGTGCGCCTTATACACCGAAAAATACAGTAAGTTTCAAAGGACTATGTTAATTTAAAGCAGCAATCTTTATAATGGAGAGCAGAGCTGAACATGACAAGCCTGCCTGTCAATTTATTTCCATTGGAGCCTGTGAGGTCCATTAACTTGAGCCTACACCCAGCTGAATTCCATGGAGCATCCTTCTGGAGAAGCCTATCTAAGATTGGGTTGCAGAGTCCCAACCTGCAATGGAAATGATTTGCTTATTATCAGTAGGCTAGCCTTCACAAAAATGCTGGCTTTTATTTTATGCAGTTAGACGAGGTTTGAATAGTCAGAGAAAGAAGGTGAATAATTCATCTGTCTTTCTTGCCAGAAGCAGAAATAAAATTGTGTGAGCAGATTAGATTACAGGCAAGTTCAGTCGGATGGGATGAATGATGGAACTTTCTATATCTGCAGTACAATCAGTATAATGCAGAGTTCCCCATCCTTTCCGGCTTTGTGGACCGGTGGTGGGAGGGAGAGAGGATGGTTCCAAGTCAGCGGTGGGCAAGTGTCTGTGCATGGCGCAGCTCCATTTGCACAAGCAGCGGGTAAGCACGCACATGCCTACATGAAAATGTGTGCATGCATGCACTTGCCTGCTGCTCGCACAAGTGGGGATGCTCATGCGCCCTCTCCCGCCACTTCTGCGGCCCGATTCCGAATGGCTCAAGGCCTAGTAGTGGCCTGGGATATAATGATATCTGAAGCAGAACATCCAGATTCAGTCACAGTTTTGTTCCATACAGTATCAACCTTGTGAACTCTCAAGCTTCCTCTTTCCGCTATGTATTCAGGATGGACAGTGATTAATATTTATATGTAAGGGTGTAGGTATATGTATGTATCGGGGATGAAATCTATTTACCTTCCATACCGATTCAAAAGTGCACACGCGTCACATGCACGTGGGGATCCTCTGCGCATGCGTAAACCCTTCTGCGCATGGGCAGAGAGTAAAAAACAGGTTACTTCCTGTTTAAAACCAGGAAGTAACAATGACCAGGCAGGTGGGCAGAGCCTTGCACTGCCGTCGCTACCAGTTCTCCGAACCACCCACCGCCATCGCTACCGGTTCAGGCGAACTGGTCCAAACCGGTAGCATGTCACCCCTCGTATGTTTGTAGCATGTCTATATGTGTGTTATGTATGTGTACGCTTTTGAGAGCAGACAACAGATTTTCATTTTTAATGTGTGCCAGTGTGCCCACAGTAAAAAATGACAATAAAGGTTATCTTGTCCCAGCCGATCTACTATAATTCTATTCAGTCCATGGGGTCCTTGGTGGTCTCTAAGATTGGTTGTTTGCTTACAGACATTTCATTACCCAACTAAATAACATCATCAGTGCTGACATCTTGTTATTCAACTAGGAAACATTATCAGTTGTAGCAGGTAATGAAATCTTTGCAAGCAAGCAACCATGTTTGGAGAGCATTAAGGACTCTGTAGTCCAACCCTGAGCAGTAAACATTCTCTTCTATGGGATCTACTTAATTCTAATTTTCATTTCCTTGATAGAAAGAAGAGGTAGAGGAAAAAGCAAGGGATGCCCAGAAGAGGCACCTGAAAGAACAGGTAGGACTGTTCAGATCAATTAATTGTGTCTCAGTTCTTTCAGAGCAGCCACTGGAACTCATTGGCTTGTTTTTTTGCTTCCTGTTGCCGACTCCTCCTTCCCAGGAGCTCTTGAGAGAGAGACACCAGCAACTAGAGCAACAGGTTGCTGAATTGCAGGACAGGTTGCAGAAGCAGCAGAAGGAATTGGAATGCTTGCAGAGAGAGGTTGGGGAGCAAGAGACCCAAGCCAGGATCTGGCAAGAGAAAATGCAGAGGTGAGGAGAGAAATGAGAGCGTTTAATGTTTATTCGTCAAACAAAAATCACAAATTCGAACAAGCAAAATAATTTTTTAAAAAACGTGACGGGGATGATAAGCACGTTACTGCATTTACACATGCTATTGAACAAAATACAAAATAGGGCATCGGTAAATGCAGGTGTAAGAGGGATTTTTGGGGATTGTGAGGCAATGGGGCAAAAAATGGAAATCCTGGTAGAAAGGGAAATATATGCATTATTTCATTGTTCATAGCCTTTACAGCTATTTTGGAATACCTAACTGCTTACAATCTGAATTGCAGATAAAAGCTTTGAAGCTTGAAATTGTGGGAATGTTATCTACTTTCATTCCAGAAGCCGGAGAAGTTACTAAATAGGGCTATGAGTTTTATTTCTATAGTTATTTGTAACTGCTCAGTTGAACAAAATGGTGCAACAGATTGCAAAACTTGGATTAAAATTTCTATTTGTTTAAAAGTGCGTGTGGGGGGGAGTGGGAATCCACCTAAACCAGAGGTATCAAACTGGATTTCTTTAAGGGCTGAATCAACACTGTAGTTCTCTTTGGGCCGGGAGGGGGGAGGGAACGGGATGGACGGACATGACAGACGCCTCCGTTGGCACTTTGCCAGCCAAAACGGGTGGGCATCCCCCCCCCACGCCCTGTTTTCGGCCAGCAAATTGCTGCAGGAGGCCGTCCAGGCCAAAAACAGGCCACAGGGGGGATGCCCCCTGACCCCGTCCACGGGCCGGTCCTTTGCTATTTTGCGGTCCTTTGCCCTGTGGGCCAGATTTAAGCACCCCTTGGGGCAGATCCGGCCTGTGAGCCTTGAGTTTGTTACCCCTGACCTAAGCCCTCCACTGGGAATGATCTTGAGAATTAGCTGTAAGTGTTTTTCTTTTTCTCCCTTGCTTATTGGGGACTTTATGTTTTCATTATTTTATTATTTATTATACCCAGAGTCTCTGATTTCCAATGCCTTTTGGAGAGTTTGCAAGGGGTGAAGGTGATCTGTGTCTCAGAGAATGACATGGAGGTGGAGCTGACTTCTCAACCCCAGCCTGAGATTTCTGCTCCTCGTGGTCTGAAGCTGCGTATACACTGGGGAGAGGATGGCAATGTCACTTTGCAGGTAAGAAAAGCAGGAAGTGAATTCTACTGGATTTAGGGTGCTGAGAACACCAGCCTGATCTTTCTCTCTTCTCCGTATAGAGTGGCAGCCCTTCTTTCCTTCTCCCTGGTGAAATTCCCCTGGGAACTTGCAGCACCATCAAAGGGGTCCTTTTGGAGTTGCAGCACAGCTATTCTCAACAAGCACAGCTTTTGGCTGAGATTGAGTTGCTGCAGAACTGGTGAGCACCTTCATTTGTGTTGCTGTGTGGCTCCATAAGGTGATCTAGGGAAGAGTTTGAGCATTGCATGTTGGGAAAGGGGTAAGAGATACCTCAGCCCTTGGAAATTTACCTGGTTTGTAATGAATTCTACCTGGGGCTCCCCCTGAAGAGCATCCGGAAGCTTCAGTTGGTGCAAAATTCAGCGTCCCACGTGGTTTTGTGCAGACTTCAACGGACACATGTTTCACCTCTCCTGCGGGAACTGCACTGGTTGCCAATTTGCTTCTGGGTGCAATTCAAGGTGCTGGTTGTCACTTTTAAAGCCCTTCAGGGCTTGGGACCAGGTTATCTGAGGGACCGTCACTTGCTAGTCACATCTACCCGATCCACTAGGGCGGGAAGGGAAGGAATCTTGCGGGTCCCATCCCCTATAGGGCAGTGGTGGCGAACATTTTACTCACCGAGTGCCGAACAGGTACGCGCTTCATGCGCTTGCTATCAACGCTAATGTGCGGCTCCTCCCCCGTGTGCTGCGCACCATCTGCGCATGTGCATGGCTTTTGCGCACAAACGCACACAACCACACCACCTGTGCATGCGTGTGGCTTTCGCATGGCTCCCCTGTGTGCTGCGTGTACAATTGCACCATCTGCGCATGCACACGGTTTTCGCGCACACAATGCATGTGTGCGAATGCTGTCTATGCATGCACGCACTGCGTGCAAGTACACACTCATGCGCAAATGCACATGCGTGCACAGGAGAGCTCTGAAGACCAGGTGGGTCCCCTAAATTGCGCGCATGCGCAGCAGAGGCCCAAACACCAGCTGGGACGCACGCGCATGTGCAGCTGAATTGGGTGACAGCTCGCGTGCCTGGAAAGATGGCTCTGCATGCCACCTCAGCATACGTGCTATAGGTTTGCCATCACGGCCCTAAGGAGATACATCTGGTGGGTCCTAGAAGAAGATCCTTCTCCGTGGTGACTCCCTCTTTCTGGAACATCATTCGCCCAGAGATTAGATTGGCCCCCACTCTAATACTCTTCCAGAAGGCGCTGAAGATCTGGTTCTGCCAGTGGGCCTGGGGAACCCAGAGTAGGATGGAGCCCATTAAATGACTTGTATAAATATGTGTTGTCGCCGGAATGGGGGTGGGGATGGGGCTATTATTTTTTATTATTTTATTATTTTATTTTTATATGATGTTTTTATATGTAAGCTGCCTTGAGTCGCCATGGGCGAGTAAGCGGCAATATAAATTTTCTAAAATAAAAAATAAATAAAATAAATTCCAGCTTCATTCCCAGCTTGGCTTGTAGCAGGTTTTAGCTTCATCCCCAGGGATTCTCTACTTAAAAAGTGCTGGGTACAAGGTTGAGAGAGATCTGCCTCCTTCCAGAAATGTGGTTTATTAATTATTTATCCTGTTTTCCCCCAAAGTAAGACATCCCCTGATAATAAGCCCAATCGGGCTTTTGAGCGCATGGCAATAAGGCCATGTGCTTATTTCAGGGTTCAAAAAAATATAAGACAGGGTCTTATTTTCGGGGAAACATGGTATTTATTAGACTTTTACCATGCCTTTATTATTATTTTTTAATAAATAAGGCATTGAACATATATAATACTCCTACCTCCCATTTTCCCCACAACAACAACAACCCTGTGAGGTGAATTGGACTGAAGAGTATGTGACTGGGTCAAGTCACCCAGCTGGGTTTCATGCCTGTGGCAGGATTAGAACTCACAGTCTCCTGATTTCTAGGCCAATACCCTTAATCAAATTGGCTTATGACAAATGCTCCTCGATACATAAAAATGGATATCCTGCTCTTTTTTTTTTTTTTTTACAAAATGGCCCAAGAGAAACTCACTGACTCTCTCTCTCATAAAACACATGCACAGTTCAAGTGACTGAGGTTAATCTATCTTCGCTGTGCCTAAAAACAAAGTGCGGAAGAACATGATTGGTTTCAAATCAAGGATACAGAACTTTTCATCCATTCTCAGGTTTGCTTAAAAAGGGCTTACCTTACTTTTCAGAGTATAAGACACACTCCCCCTCCCCCACACAAAAGAGGGTGAAAATGTTGGTGCGTCTTATACACCAAATACAGCCATTTTTGGTCTCCCCAAACCCCAACCCACACGTCCCATTTTTGCCAAAAACAGGCCTGTTTTTCGCAAAAACGAGATGCGCAGAAGGTTGGGAGGCCTGCAGAATACTCCTGGGGCCAGGGAGGGCAAAAAACAGATGCACGGAGGCCAAAAACTATTTTTTTCTTGTTCCTCTTCGAAATCTTGGTGCATCTTATACTCCGGTGCATCTTATAGTCCAAAAAGTATGGTCAATTCTGGGGAAATAAAGACTGAATTTCTCCAGAATCCTGATTCTTGCAATAGGAAGAGGGAGGGAGGAAAAGAGAACGTGGCTGAAACTAATACTTTATTTCCCAGTATACCTTCCTGTAAAAGGGAACTGGTGCCAGAGTTCTCACAGATCCCCTCTTGATTTTCACTAGGCTTGAAAAATGCCTTCTGTTTTTTGTTTTCTTTTTTTAAATAGGAGGTTGGCACATTACCAAGTGCTGGACTCCAAAATCATCTTTATTTAAAACAATATTTATGAGCCGAGAAATTTTCTTTGAAAATACAAGGAAGGGTGACTGCAGCCTAATGCTTTGCTTGGAAGTAGCCTACCGGTTCAGAAAAGGGACAAAAAGAATCAAGAATATCCTGCTGCAGAGGGGAAAAGATGATGGCAGGCAGCATTCTGAGAAATCGGTAACTGCTTACATTTCCCTAGCAGCCATCTAGACAGAGTGGCTATAGCAGGTTCCCGAAATTTCATAAGTGCCCCCAAATCCATAACGATTGGGGACTCTTTATCTTAAAATAGGGGAAAATGGGATTTTGCCATGGCTTCTTAAACTCAAGAAGCCACCAAAAGAGAGGAGGAGAAATTATCTGGGGGTGATGATAAGCATGTTCTGCAGATTTTCTGTCAACATCATTTCTGTCATGAAAATGGCATTTAGTTGTAGCTGTTGTGGCCTGCCAGCGGCCAGCAGAGCTGGCAGCAGATTCAGACAGTGAGGAGGTTGGGGAGGAACATGGGCCAGTCCTGGAGTCTGGCGAAGGCTCGGACGATGGCTCTGAGTCGGAGGCAGAGAGGGGGCCAAGGCCATCTGGTAGTTGTTTGCTGCCTCCGGAGTCTCTGGAGTCTGACATCAGCGAGGCAGAAGAACAGCGTGAGCCTGTTCCCAGTGTGCACATACGCAGAGCTTCCAGGAGACAGGAACAATTAAGAAAACAGGGTCGACTTGGGAGTAAGGCTTGGAGATGATTGGCCCCTCCCATAAGACATAAAAGAGAAGCAAATGGGATGTGAGCTTTTGCAGGAAGCAATCAGTTCATCTGGCCGATTCAAGATTTGAAAATTCTGTTTGTGACTCTGTGCCAAGTTTGGCCTTGCCCTGCGCCTGGAAATTAACTCTGGCAGCGTTCCACGTGAGATAGGTGGGTGTTGATAACCTTCCTCTGAAAGACTGTTCATCAAGACTTGCAGACTGTAAATGAAAGTAATTTACAGTCATATAAATAAAACAGGTTTTGCAGGACTAAGATTGTGCTTTATACTTTCTAAGGAAGCCTAGGTCAGAACAGTAGCATAAGTTCAGGCTCACATCTGCCTTGTCCTCTTTTTCAAGGTCCTCTTTTTCTTATTCTTTGTGACTCTCCAGGCCCCTGTGGCAGCTATTGTGCAGCTTCACGTTTTCAGATGAGTTGGGAGAGCCAGTCTGGTCCAGCTGTTAAGGTTCTGGGCTAGAAACCAAGAGAGCATGATTCTAGTCCTGCCTTGGGTGGGCACAGAGCCAGCTAGGTGGTCTTGGGTCAGTCCCTCTCCCTCAGCCTAGGAAGAAGAAGAAGAAGGCGAGGGCAAACCACTTCGGAAATATTGTCTAGAAAACTGCAGGGATTAATCCAGGTAGTTGCCAGGAGTCAACACTGACTTGAAGTGCATAACATTAGGAAGAGCAAAGCATAACTCTATAATATAATATAAACTTGAGCACTCCTGGCATAGGCCCAACCCCATACAGGTAATCCTCGACTTATTATACTACTTCATTTAGTGACCATACAACGGCACTGAAAAAAGGGACTTACGACCATTTTAACACGACTGTTGCAGTATCACCATGATCCAAATGCAAACACTTGGCAATTGACTCCTATTTATGATAGTTGCAGTGTCCTGGGATCATGTGATCTGCTTTTTTGACCTTCCGACAAGCAAAGTCAATAGGGGGAGTCGGATTCACTTTGCAACGGTGTTACTAACTTAACAACTGTGGTGATTCACTTAACCACTATGGCAAGAAAGGTCATCAAATAGGGCAAAACTCACTTAACTGTCTTGCTTAGCAACAAAAATTTTGGATACAGTTATGGTCATAAGCCGAGGACTACCCATACTTGGAGAATTGCAGTCATGTATGTCTGCTGTCATGCCATTCTCATGAGGTATGCTCTGCTAAGCAGAGACCCCGTTCTTCATTCTCTCTTGATATTTTAACCTTTTCTCCCCCCTCTCTCCCCCCAGTTTTGCAATTGATTGGCAGCCGGAGAAGAGACTGCTCAGTTACTTGAAGCCTTCATCAACTTGCAGCCTCTACGTAGAATCGGGATATCCAGCCAGTGGGCAGGTTCGGCTTTTCTCAATAAAGACTCAACAAGGCACAGTTGATGTGACTTCCTACAAGGTTAGTACACAGCTATCACTGCTTTACCTTCTGACAAAGGATCAAGGCCTTAACTTGGCCTGGAAATAGATTTCAACTTCTCAAAAGTTAGGGATATTTTAGAAATGTAATGGTGAAGTTGAATCCCATACAGCCACTAACCCATTCAAGGTTCTTTTGCTTCTGTCTCTTTTGAGGATGCTTCTCTTTGCCTCTTAGTTGCCAGTCATTCAAAAGAAACAAATCAAGCCCAGAAACCAAGGAGGGGATTGAAATAATAGCTATTATTGTCCTTAAGATGCTGAGATTTTTTTAAAGACAGTGATAATTCATTGTGTCAGAGATGGAGAACCCATAACACTCTTGGTCTCGCTGAACTTAAAAAAAAAACATAGCAACCTTTGGCAGCACTGTGTGTCTGCTCCTCACTGTATTTCCCCAACATCTGAAGGAGCACCAATTTCCCACTCCTGCTTCAGGCAATTCCATTTCTATTTTCTGGTTTATTTCTAAATCTTGCCTTAGCACTTTTAGACGGAGGCCCCAGATCACAGAGCTGTGAGATACTGTGTTGTGACTCCAAACCCCGAGGCCGACTTATCGGAGGGAGAAGGCTCCGAACATGAAGGAGAGGAGTTGGCCAGGCCTCCCTCTCCAGGACCCTCCTCTCTGGCAATGCCTCAGGTGTCTCCTGAGGGAGAAGAGATTGGCCAGGAGCCAGGTATCTCCTCACAGTCAGACAGTGACGGAGATAAGGCTTGGCTGGATCCACACCAGCGTCGGAGAGACAAGCGCACGCAGCAGAAAAGGAGGCATGCCAGAGATTAAGTTGAGTCACTGGACCATACCCCACAGGGGATATAAGGGGGTGAGGTGGCCATTCAGACTCTGTGACGGACAAAACTAACTACTAGCGAGTCACATTGTATCTTTGCAACAACGATATCTGCCTTGGATTTAATACGGACTGGACTTGACAATTCTTGAACTGTGTGTATCTTGTTTGGCTTTATCTGTCGGAGGAACAACCCCTCCCTTTATGGGTAAAGTTCTTGGCAAGTAGCTACTGGGTTGCTGCCAATGCTTTTATCAAAAGAATTTGTTGTCTGCCAGTTTTATTTAACCCCTGAATATCTGTTTGTGTGCATGTGTGAGACGGGGACAGAACATACTGGTATATCAGACCTCAAGGAGAGGGCTACATATTTTCTATTTAGGCAGTAACAATATGCTGTTAATAGTCCACCCTGCAGAAAATAGAACATATTTATTCATGGGCCTAGATATAAAACTTCAGTTTTAGGATTTCCTATGTTCTTTTAGCCTTCACCCTAACGTCTGAATCTCTTCTTTCTTGCAGCCCCCACAGGAAAAACCTTCACTACAAAATTGGCTGATCTACCTGAGCACTATGGACTTCAATACTCCTTTCCCAACCTGAAAAGCTCCTACTGCCTGTGTCCGTGTAATGTGATGAGGATCAAGGCCAACATCTATAGTTTAGGCCTCCTTCTAATATTTTTGGAAGAAGAAGGAAATTGAATTTAACTGGGACAGGGTTTTTTGTGTGCAAATGTATGTTTATGTTTATATTTGTTTGTATGTTGTATTTTGGGCCACTTCAGCCTCTACTTCCTTCCCCTTTTACTCTTGCTTGCTTTGATTTGAGCTTCCAGTTCTCCTTTTTGAGTCCTCCTGCTTTCCTGTTACCCTTATATAGTTTTATGGCTGGTTGAGTGTTACTCTAGTACTTTGCATCTCCACATTGTTGAACTTTTAAAATGTTTTGATCAATAAAATTGGTGGTTTTATTGGAGGTTTCTAGCTCTCATTTATCTGATGGACTTAATTGTAAGACAAGGTTTGTTTCATTATCTTGTAATTCCTGTCTCTTTTTTTTCAGACAGTTACTGATAATAAATATTTTTTTACCCATGTTTATGTGGAGCACATTACAAACTGGGGGAATGTAAACTAACCCAAATGAGATTTTTACGCATATCTGATCCCTTATGATATACAAATTACTCCTGGGATCTCCCCAGGGATGATCCTATTGCAGTTCACAAGAGAAAAGCCAAAAAGTACAATTTAGATACCGAATAAAGATGGAAAATGGTTGTTTAATCTGATGTTAGAGCTTGTCAGTTTTTCATGCAAAAAGCATGAAAACGTTACATGAGAAACCAATAAATGAATGGAAAATTATATCATTAGTATCAATAAAAAGATAAATTTATAATGATTGGTGTGGCATCATTCTCATTGCTATATCACATTTTGCAGAAAAGCTATGGAGCATAATTGCACATCCCCCTCATAATTTTGAATTAAGAGATTCAACCTAGAAATGAGGAACTTTCTGACAGTGAGAACAATCAACCAATGGAACAGTTTGCGTTTGGAAGATGTGGGAGCTTCATCACTTGAGACTTTCAAGAAAAGATTGGACTGCCATTTGTCAGAAATGGTGTAGGGTCTCCTGCTTGAGCGGAGGGTTGGACTAGATGACCTATAAGGTCCCTTCCAACTCTGTTAATCTGTTAAATTATTTTGATGCAATTTTGACCTGAAGCTGTATCTTGGAAACGGGAGCCAATTAATGACTTAATTTTCCTTTATTAGTGACTCAGTTCTGGTAAAATGTAGCTACTTTCATTTTCGAGGCTTTCTCCTTGCAGACCAATTTAAGCTATAACTTCAATTCTCATTGGTAGATTTCTAATAAATACTCAGACTTCCGCACATTAAAAACAGTTGTCTGGAATTGCCAATAATTCTCAAGTTGATGACATTTGATAAATATAAATGCTCAAACAATATAAAATATGAAAGCTTTATAGTTGCATAAATATGAATACCTAATTTGACAAATGTAAATATTCATACTATCTTTTTTTAAAATAATATCACTAGGTTATTGCTTCATTCAGATGCTGTAGGTTAACACTTGGTCTTTCTAGCAGAGCAACCTGTGGGAAGCCAAGTTCAGCCTCTTGCCATGTGGTGGCAATATTGTACCACACTTCATGAAATTCATCCTCTTGAGGGGCTCTTGAAGTGAGTGCTGCTGATGCTGCAGAGCTGGATTTTACTTTGTTTCTTTTCCTGCTCTGTCATTGGAAGGCTGAGCGAACAGGAAAGGGTATCTACTTCAAGTGATTAGGGGAAGGAATCCAGGGAATGACATGGTTGGAACAGTGCACCCCTTAAGATTAGGTCCCCCCCCCACCATTTGCTTGGCATTTGGAAAATGAGAAGACAGCTCTCTTAAGAGATTTGAGTCAGAGGAAAGTCTTCAGTTAGACGGCAACTGTTTTTATGGAAATTCTACGGTTAATTTTGGATTGTGTATTGTAAGTTAAGGGACGCGGTGGCTATGATGCTGAGCTTGTCGATCGAAAGATCGGCAGTTCAGCGGTTCAAATCTCTAGTGGCGCATAACGGGGTGAGCTCCCGTTACTTGTCCCAGCTTCTGCCAACCTAGCAGTTCGAAAGCAGGTAAAAAATGCAAGTAGAAAAATAGGGACCACCTTTGGTGGGAAGGTAACAGCGTTCCGTGCGCCTTTGGTGTTTTGTCATGCTGGCCACATGACCACGGAGACGTCTTCGGAAAGTGCTGGCTCTTCGGCTTTGAAACGGAAATGAGCACTGCCCCCTAGAGTCAGGAACGACTAGCACATATGTGCGAGGGGAACCTTTACCTTTATCTTATTGTAAGTTACCTCAATCACTCAATAGGCAGTAGAGTTGCATAAGTAACCACCTTTCTTCTGATTAGAAGGCCGACTGACTTTTGTCATCCAATGAAGTTTTCTCATCTTTTCAAACTTAGCTGAGGGTTACATTTCTCGGTGATAAAAGGGCTGACAGTTATCGAAACAGGAAGTGGACACAGACTGCCCAGCTTCACAAAAGAGGCAAGTTACCTGTTCCTTGTGTCAGAAAAAGTAAGTGGAAATGAATAAAGTTTGGTGGTCCTAAATTACCTACATGGAGGTGCTTCAGTTAAAAGGATTTAAGGTAGTCGTAACGGTCCTTTTCCTAAAATGTAATATTAAGCAGAGCTTTTAGATTCTTGTTCCTAAAGTTAACTGCAGTCTTGAGTACAAGGAGGGAAGACAGATGCTTGCTTTTCCTTTGGTACTCTAGAAAAGGGTTTGTTGTGGGTGACTTCTAGATCAGGGATTTCATGACCTGAGGACTTCAACTCCCAGAATTCCTGAGCCAGCCATGCATGTCTGGCTCAGGAATTCTGGGAGTTGAAGTTCACAAGTCTTAAAGGGGCCATAGTTCCCCACCTAGATTTATTTGAATCACATTGGAGGTTTCACATCTGTTGTTTTTTAAGTAGATTCCCATCACAAATGTTGCATTTGAAGTCTGACACAGGGCACGAGTCTAATGGCGACCAATATTTCCCTCATTGTTAATCAGTCAGGTGACAGATTTTCTTCTCTTCCAAATTATGCCTGTTTCCCAGTTATACTTCCAACATGATTGGCGTTTGAACTGAAAGACAGGATGCAGATCAAGTAAATAATAATGATTAAGCAGACTTGAATGTTCATCCAGTTACACCTGAGAGGAGCTAGTCTTCTATCTGACTGCAATTAAGCTTATATTTTCACCTTTCTTTTTTTTTAATTAAAAAAATGATGTTTGGGGGGTTGCTAGCCTCACAACAATTATTAGCTGGACTAGGAGTTTCAGAAAGTCTAAGCAAGCAGTTTCTGCTTGGATCACACAATGAAATAGTCAAGTATGCTATAAAAACCTTCAGGATCCTCACTTGGGTGACTAGGGGAAGGACCATGGGAATGATTGATAAGAGTAGTAAAAGAGAACTGGGTGTCATTGGAGGTGTGTGCAAAAATATCTGGCATACGTGCACTAGTGTCCCTGTCACATTTTAATTTATTTTCATTTTGTAAGCTCTAGTGAGCCATACGGTATTTCCAGGGCGGGGAGAATTAAATTCACTACTTTTAGCGCTCATTTAGCAATGCTGTTACAATGAACTTTAGAACATGAATCTTTAGAGATGAGTACACCCAGGTCCTTAACAAAATGAGGGTCATCTCCTAGAACCTAGATCAATGCCAACTAATTTATACTTTATATTCTAGTTTTGCTTTCCAATACGTAAAACAATTTTTCTTAACAGAAATCTGAAGTTGCCAAATGGATGACCATTGAAAAATATGGTTGGTGTCATTTTACAAAGCAAGTGAATTTTCAGTAGCATTAAAGAATTTTACATTAATCAAGCAAAGAGAACACAGGTGCTTTTAAGTTGATCACATAAATCATTTATGTAAATCAGGAAAAGTGTAGGCCCTAGGACACTGCCCTGAGGAATGCCACTGTTAACTGATACCGGATCAGACATCGAGTCGCCTATTTTAACTAATTTTCTGCAGCTTTTCTCTCCCACCCCTCCCATCTTCTGTCTCTTTTTGATCCATGGTCCTTGCTGTTCCATTGTTTCCTGGAGGCCAGCACCTCCGTTTTGTGGTTCTTTCAGCTCCTGTTAACAGCCTTCTAGAACATGCCCAGACTACTAACCTTTGAGTCTTTTCTGTCATAACAAAAGGACATTCTCCAGAGCTGCTTTCATGTCCTCAGGGTTGCTACAGTTTGTTCTTCCACTCATCATTTTATGCCTCCTCATAATGGCCAAAGCTTTTTATTTTAGAACATGCTTGCGTATTTTAGAACTAATTTTAGCGTTAAAAGGACATTGGAAGGTGCTTGAGGAATCCTTATGCCTTTTATATGTTCCCCAGTCCCTGAGATTGAGCAGAAATGTAATTAATTTTACAATGTGTGAGGAGTGGGAGTATTTTAAAATCAAGTTTGCATTCATCGGAAAGAACACCTGTGTGGCTGTTTCTCACCATGAAATGCTATTTTTTTTAATGCCCAAGAAGGATATCAACCAAGAGGGCCAGAGGAAACTTCCATTAATTATGGCACTATAGCTTCATGTCTGCCTAAAAAGCCACAGAGAATTGGCTCTCTTGACTATTATTCACATGGGATGGATGGGATCTAGAGTCCATCATCCAAAAAATGCAAAATCTTGCATTTGCAGATTGTTTACATACACAGAAGCATCTGCTTGCTCACCAGAATCATGTTTCGGTGAATCTTTTAAGCCAGTGCATCAGTTTAAGGCAATTGATCTGTTCAAGAACTATACGGGCAAGTGACTACCATCTACATTGTGGAGACTGTCAGGAATTTCTGGGTGTTGTACTGTATGGTTTGGCCCAGGGCATGGAGATCAGATGAGGGTGATGAGGAACCCTGGACAAAGATCATGGTGAGGTTGTAACATGGGAATAAATCCTGTGTTAACATTTTGCACCCTGTCAATTTGTAGTTGAGATGGATGGTTCCTATTGACTTTCAGGGGAGAAGACCTGGATCTTCTTCTGGCAGAGGCAAATTCCATGCTCCTCCCCAAGACATTTTTGGTTTACATCATCTTAAATTGTTAGAGGAAAAATGTGCCTCAGCCATTTGCCTCTCACAGACAATGTTAGGCTAGAGGCTCAATCTTACTGGTGACATAAATAGAGTTTTATGCTTTTTCTTGTCAACTTACCTCACATTGTTATTGTGGAAGGGGGAATTGGGGGAAGGAGAACTGTGTATATCACCTTAAACTCCTGGACGAGATGGGATATAAATCCAATCCAGTAAATAATCATTTTATTTGGGGAGATTCGAGTTGACAAGAGTGCCATTTGTTTTCTTTTCTTTTTTTTCTCCATCCCTCTGACTACAAAGAAAATATTCCTCATGACCTTCCTTTCAAATGATAAAATAGTAATGGATGCTAAATTATAAATACTTCACATCAGAGGCACTCTAATGAGATTTTGTGCAACCTTTAGAACTAGAACTGAATCATTAATTATAAAATGGGGTGATTAGAACATTAAATAAAACAAATGATTGAACTGGTTTTCAGTCCTAAATTTTTATTTTTTTCCCCCTCACAATTAATTGCAAGACTTGGAATGGCGGTGGGTTTATAAGTCTCTTGGATATTTATAAGGTGACGGAGGTCGTATTGATCCAGGAACTACTGGAAGTTCCACACCTTAGAAGAGGCATTCTTCCAATCCACAGGAGGTTTCTCCAGGATTCCTTCCATATTTGGTCTGATGACCTTTGAGACTCTGCAGATCTCATCAAAGGAGAAGCTATGCCTTGATCTGCAAAAATAGGGGCTACACCTTTGGCTGTGCTAATGAGATTCTGCCCCTGCAAACTTTAGCAGAGCGATGTGGGACTTAGCTGTGGAGAGAGCATCAGCAATCAAGTTAGAGGTGGTTTTTGGGCAGCACCTCAGAGGAGGCTAATAAGTAAAGGAAAAGTAACTAAGGGATGGTGTGGCAAGTCCAAATCTTTTCTTTGTGATGCTGTTGGCATCTACAAAAATGCCATCCGCACTGAAGAGTATTTCAAGTCTGCATTATAGTTTTTAAAAACATGTTTACCTAGAAGGTCATTGTTTAATCCACTGCTGGGTCTCAGTTATTCTGTCCTACATTCCAAATTTAGAATGTTTGGAACGCAACTCCTGGGGTTTCCTGGAGACCCCATGTCAAATTATTTGCAACAGGTTGGAAAGGAGCTTGCCATGACCACCTTGCAAGAACTTTTAACCACCACTGTGGTAATTCTTTATGGGCTCCCATCTTTATTTAGAGTAACAGTATTGGAAGTGACCTTGGAGGTCTTCTAGTCCAAGCCACTGTCAAGCAGGAGACCTATACAATTCTGGACAAATACCAGTCCAATCTCTTCTTAAAAATCTCTAGTGATGGAGCACTCACAACTTCTAGAGGCAAGCCATTCCACTGATTAATTGTTCTCGCTGACAGGAAATTTCTCCTTAATTCTAGGTTGGATCTCTCTTGTTAAGCTTCCATCCATATCTTCTTGTTCTGTCTTCAAGTGTTTTGGAGAATAGGTTGACCCCCCTCTTCCCTATGACAGTCCCTCAATTATTGGAAGACTTCTATCATATCATCCCTAGTCCTTCTCTTTGTTAGACTAGACATTCTCCGTTCCAATGCATGGTTTAGCCTCCAATCCCCTAATCATTTTTGTTGCTCTTCTCTGCACTTTTTCTAGAATCTCAACATCTGTTTTGTATTGTGGTGTCCAAAACTAGACACAATATTCCAAGTGTGGTATATACCGGTACATACTGTATACTCTGTGTGTATGTGTGTGTGTGTGTACCAGTATGTGTTTGAGTCAGTGGTGGGTTGCCCCCGCTTCGCACCGGTTGTATAGAACCGGTAGTAAAACCGGCGGGAGGCCCCGCCCACTGACCCCGGCATCATCAAAACGCTTCTGCGCATGCGCAGAAAAGCGTGCGCACGAGCGCAGTGAGCACACACACGCAGCCCCGCTGCAAACCGGTAGTAAAGGTAAGTAGAACCTGCCCCTGGTGTGAGTGTACAAAAAAAAGAGAGCGTGTATATATAGATGGTATGTATGTATAACATACTAGCTATTTCAACTTTTCTGAACTTTTCAAAATCATCCAAGATGGGGCCAGTGTTTATTCTAGACTAGAACAAGACTAAAATGACCATGTTTTGTGAAATGGCTGGAGAAATTTTATTCAACCATCATTTCAGTCGTATTATGCTAACTTACGTTACCATAAAAGAATGTTATGAACCTAAACACCCACAAAGAGGAAAGACCATATGTTTTATGCCAAGGTTCTTATCAGAAACTTGAAATTTAAAATATAATAAAATAACCAAGGAGCAAAAAAATACTGCTTTTACAGTATTTCTTTTGGTTTGTTGTTTTGTGATGGCAAATTCATTCATTCATTCATTCATTCATTCATTCATTCATTCATTCATTCACAGAATGTCACAGCACAGAATCAAATCCACGTCTTCTTGGACACAGGTATCAAATGGTAGGATTCAATTATTTGATCCAACTATATTTTGTTTTCCTCTTATAAATAAATCTTAAAATAACTATTAGCAGGTGTAATAGGGCATTATCTGTAGCCCTATTTCCATCTTTGCAATAAGAAAGCAGGAAAAGAGGGCAAGTTCTTTTTTGCAATATTTGGGCCTTTAGGATAAACTGCTCTGAAGCCATTGCTGAAGTAAAAAGGTAAAGGTAAAGGTTCCCCTTGCACATATGTGCTAGTCGATAGTTTATCCCAGTAACAAATCGTGTATTTAAGTGACTAATGTTCTGCAAGGTTATTATCATAGATCCTGGTTTTGGAGTCCTGAATGCATCTGAGCCTTCAGTTTCTGCAAATTGAAATTGGATTTTTTAATATATATATACAAATTCAAATACTTTGGCCACCTAATGAGAAGAAAGGACTTGCTGGAGAAGAGCCTAATGCTGGGAAAGATTGAGGGCAAAAGAAGAAGGGGACGACAGAGAATGAGGTGGCTGGATGGAGTCACTTGAAGCTGTAGGCGTGAGCTTAAATGGACTCCGGGGGATGGTAGAGGACAGGAAGGCCTGGAGAAACCTTGTCCATGGGGTCGTGATGGGTCAGACACGACTTCGCAACTAACAACATAAAAGACAAGTAGTGTAAAAATACAGGTTTATTTCCTAACATGTGCCCGCTCATGAACCCCTCACATGAACTCTATTCCCCAAAAGCTTTCCCCATCCAGCTCACCTGCTCCTTCCCACCCTCCTCACTTTCCCACCCACCACCAAGTTAAGCCCTTTTTCCTTTTCGGTCATGTGGGCACCATGGTCAGTTCTGTGTAGCTGATGTACATCACCTTAGGGAAACCTGTGGGGGGATACAAAAAGAAGAGTCAGAGGGGGCCACCTCCTCCTTTGAGAGGAAGGAATTTGGGGGAGGGGCGGTTCTTATCTGGAGTAAAGATTCAGCCAAACTACCAAGGCTTGTACACAATGGCCCTGGCAACGGTGTGACTCCTGCTACAACCAAGATTGCACAGCTTTGTGTGAACTAGGGACAGCCCTGTGCTGCTCCAATCACTTTCTCTCCCATCCATCTGTTATCTGCATTTTTGGTCACACGTGATCATCAAAATTAGAGCACCTAGTAGATGTATAACCCCACAAACAGCTTCTCCTTTGGATGATTCCTCTTTTTTTTTTTTACTATTTCTGAACTGATTGGGTATATGTGTATAAGAAGGAGGGAGGCATTAGAAGCACTGAAACCAACATAATCGTATAGAATTATGAATTCTGTTCACTTTTGTGCCTATTGTCAACATATTTCTGTTTACTCGGGACTTTGGAATAATTTGCAATCTCTTTCTTCAAGTTTATGTCTTTCCAAGGTACGGGACTTCAGTTCCCATTCTTTACAAGCAACTTGAAGGATGCCAGATTGGGAAATCTGATTTTTATACCTGGGACTTTTGACTGTGTGGTCAAAATTCAAACACCATGGCCATGATGGTTCGTGGTCTTAGCTATTTATGATGCCTTTGACTTCTTGTTCATTTTGTATGTATGTATTAATGTTTATTTCATAATATCATAGATTAGACAAAACTTGGAGAATTTATTTCTTTATTTCACTGATTCCTTTTTTCTTTTTCTTTCTTTGCATTTTTACACTCTCTCTTTAATTTTCTTCTGAGTTTTGTTTGTATTAGTTTTTATAACTGTAACTAAAATTATATCTATCTGTATCTATCTATCTACCTACCTACCTACCTACCTACCTACTTATCTATCTATCAGCGGTGGGTTGCTATTGGTTCGCCCTGGATTGGGCGAACCGGTAGCGGTGGCGGTGTGAGGCTTCAAAGAGCATGCCCAGAAGTGGCACATGTGCACGTGAGTGTGTGCCAACAAGCGAACCAGTAGCAACAGGTTTCTATCTATCTATCTATCTATCTATCTATCTATCTATCTATCTATTTATCTATCTATCTACCTACCTACCTACCTACCTACCTACCTACCTACCTATCTAATCTCTCATCTATCACTAGCAAACACAACTGGTGGGTGGCTCCAAGCAAATGTCTTACCTTTCTATCAAACCTGAGCTGGGTAGAGCTCTGATGAAGCCTGATGAAGCCAAAATGGGCTGAGCAGATCTATCTTTTCTTTGGTATTTGCTAGATACTTGTCACCTTCCCTGAGCATACATTCTTCTATTTTTTTCTTCCACCTTTTATTTTGAACATCCAATGATGCTTAGGGCACCCATTTGAAACATCATTAAGATGTAGAAAATGAGTCAGCATTCTTGGCCACATTTGCTGAGGGGGTTTAGAAGAGATATCGAGGGACCAAAAGTGGTCTCCACATACCTTTTACATTGCTAAACTAAGGAATGGAAAAAACATTAAAAAAATATCTTCCACTGATGAGCAGCAGCTTTTGTATACTTTGCTAAAGGACCCTGTAGGAGTATCTCTCACTAATACTGAGATTTTGTTTCACCAAGGTAATTGGTTAGAATGCAAATTTTGAAGATTTCATTTCTCCAAGGCACTGTGGTGGTGGGAGAAAGGGGGGCATGATAATTGATGGGTGAAGCAGAAGGAAAGGAAGGACTGGTACTTACAGGGCAAGTAGAGGTCAACTGGAGGCACATCAGGTGGGGTCACCAAAGAGCAAATAAGAGTGATACCTACTTTTGGGTTACTTACTGTCCTGTTTCTCATCTTTGCTTTCACCATTCTGAGCGCCTTTCTGTGAGAGCCTCGTGGAGGCATTGACAGCTGTGGCCGCTGCCTTGAAGCTGCGCTTGCGTTTCTGCACGTTCTGTTCTGGGTGGAAGACGATGATGTAGACTTTGGGTACATAGAGCATCCCAAGAGAAACAAAGGCGCTCAGGCTCATGGAGATGGTGAGAGTTGTTGTCTGAATGTACATCTGGGAGGGAGAAACACACAGGACTGCATTTTAGTCCAGAAGATCCGGACTGTGGCATGCAATCACCAGGATCATGTAAATTCAAGTCAAGACACTCCTGAGTCAAATTTGACTTCTAGTGCCTTACAGAGTTTTCTTAGCATGAAACAAAGAGTTTCCCATTGCCTTTCTCTGACATAATTTTCCTTGATCCATTACCCAATAATTAACCAGAGCTAACTGTGATTATATTTCTAAATCAGCCTCCTAGATGGGCACGGCATCAAACTATAAACTATTCCAACTGTCATCATTTTAGGTTTATTGGGTGATGAAGAGTCAGAAGTGACATGAAATTGTTCAACTTTAAATGTCAAAATTAGAGATCTAAAATGATGCAGTCCAAGAAGAGCTACCCAATTTGATTTTACAGTTGTCCAAAGGGGCCTTCATTGGCTCAGAAAGGAGTAAAATGATTGTAATCCTTGTCGTCTGCTCACTTACCTGACATACAAATGCTCATTTATTTCTATAGCAATTCTAAAACTCCTATACCCACTCAACACATCAAAGTCTTTTGGTTTCCATGGATTTGCTTATCAGAAGTAAGCATCCAAAGGTCTTCCATTGTTTTTCTGAACTGAATTTTCATCTCCTCCAAGAGCAATGGTGAAGAATGCTGGGAATTCTATTTCAATAACATCTGGAAGGATCTGTTCCTGCACTACTGGTTTATAGGACCAACTTCTGAGTCTGCCTGGTGTTACCTTCTAGGGAGCTTCTACTTAGTTCAGTATTCCTCAAGCTTAGGTTGCTAATGGATGCTGCCTCCTGCTACCTCCTGAATGGAAATAGAAGACATGTATTACTTTTACACCCTCACAAGCACACAAAAGTTTCTTTTAAAAGTATGAATGAGCAAGAACTGTCATCCCTCAAATTGTGTCTCCTGCATTTATTGGAAAGAAGGAAGTAGACTGGAGGAGCTAATCATGCAAAGATGCACCTCACAGGGGCTCTAAGTACAATAGTACTCTTTCCTTTATTAATGGATGTAAACGTAGCAAAGACACAGACAACTTTTGAGCATTCCATGATGAATTAATCAAGAAGAATGATGACATTGACATGAGAGCAAAGAATCCTTGGTTAGGGTGCCTGTTTAAACTCCTATGTTCAGTCTTTTTTTGGGAAGAGCTCAGGATAGCTATAAAAATGATCTACCGTGTTTAGTCTCGTGGTTTGCAATTTGGTCTAGAATTTCAGGTGCTGGCTTGGAAACTAGGAGATTGTGAGTTCTAGGCTTCCCTTAAGCATGAAAGCCAGCTGGGTGACTGGGTCAGCTGCTCTCTCTCAGCCCAACCAACCTCAGCCCTATGATTCCTCATTCATAGGATTGTTGTTGTGGGGAAAACGAGAGGAGGAAGGAGTGTTATAAGTTTGCTACCTTGTGTTATTTATAAAAATAATAAAGGTGGGATAATAAATAAATGGATAGAATTACCCCTGGGAAGACTTCAGGGGAAAGGAATCTTTACTCTGCATAGGGATGTAACAAAACTTTGGCATTTTTAAAAAAAATAAATGAATAGGAGTTGAATAGCAATAGCACTTAGATTTATATACCACTCCACAGTGCTTTACAGCACTCTCTGAGTGGTTTACAACATCAACCTATTGCCACACATAATTTTCAGCCCCAAAAGGTAAGGAGGTTTAATTCTTTCCTGGAAGGCCATTCTCCCTTTAAAAATTGCCCACTTAGAACCTGTAGCACCAACACACCCATCGGGCTGTAAGAAGAAAAGCAGTTGGGTGAGCAGACAAAGCCACAGATCAACAGGGAAACAGAAATCTTTTCCTTCCTTCAGCCCTAAACCACAATCCAGTTCAAAATTCCTCCCTCCCACGGATCCATTTATGCAGAAACAAACACATAGAGAAATTGTATTTTACAAGCAACTGTAGCATTCATGATATTTGGGAAGGGTGCCATTGAGCAAATGGCATGAATTACATAACTTAAATCAGTTGCATGCAGAATGAGATGAATTATGGAATGAGTGTTAGCTGAGTGTTTTTTGACTGATGGCAATGACATAATTAATGGCATTTGCATGATGTTGTCATGGCATGTGTGGGATGTCTTCGTGATTTGCAATGTAATGTGATGGATGTTTATGATAACATCTAGTTGTTCTTCAGCCTGTTGGTTGATTGGATTTGGAGTCTAAGTCTCCTTATTAAGCACTCCATCGAATATGAGCCATAATTTGTTTTATCAATGAATCAAGGAGTGCTATGTAAGTCAGGGGGTCCTCAAACTTGGCAGCTTGAAGACTTGTGGACTTCAACTCCCAGAATTCTCCAGCCAGCATAGCATAGCTGGCTGGAGAATTCTGGGAGTTGAAGTCCACAAGTCTTCAAGCTGCCAAGTTTGAGGACCTCTGATGCAAGTAGTACTATGATTTAAAACAGCATGCTAAACCATGATTTATAAAGACAGTGGCAGGATTTTCACCACACACTAAGCCACATTGGCAAAACCACATTATAGTTTAATGTGATGCATAAACAAATATATTTAAAAGAGAATATACAATATTTTCTTTTATAACAGAAAGAGATGTTACAAGAGAAAATTGAGCTGTTCTATCTCTTTTTTGTTCTGAATAATACCTTATAATGTCTTATAAGACACAATGACTGAAATCACACATTCTATTAAGCAATAATGTTTCATTTAGATTTGCAGGGATCCAATATCTGGGTGGAAAGAATAACAGAAGACTATTAAATGGCAGCATGAAGCATTATTAATAAGCTCTAACCATTCATTTGCCATCTAGAAGTCATCTACATTTTTCAGTCCTGATACCGTGGCTTTAATTTAGTCATGTGGTGAAGCAGTCACAGTGGTTTGCGAAGTATGATTTAGGCAGTGATGGGATTCAAGTAATTTAACAACCGGTTCTCTGCCCTAATGATTTCTTCCAACAACCAGTTTGCCAAACTGCTCAGAAAGTTAACAACCGGTTCTCCCGAAGTGGTGCGAACTGGCTGAATCCCACCACTGGATTTAGGCTGTTATAGTTGGATTTGTAGAAAATACTTCACCTGGTTATTGTGCTAACCCAATTTTGAAGTTTGTGGAACACACTGAGCAAATAAACTATCCAAATCATTAGGATTTGCATAAGCCATAAAAAAGGGGGGTAAAACTAAATTTAATGCAAATATAACTGTTAGCAGACCCTGTAATAGACCCAGAGCAGGGGTGAAATTCAGCTGGTTCTATCCAGCAAGGACGAACTGGTGGGAGGCTCCGCCCACACGCCCAGACATCATCACGTCCCATTTTTGACCCTCTGAAGGCTCTGCGCATGCGTGAAGGAGGTGCGCGCGCTCACATTTGTGAACCGCTAGCGAAGGTAAGTGAATTTCACCCCTGAGCCAGAGCATGACTTTCTCATGCTATCATGCTTTTAATCTTTTCCTTGATGTTCAGTTAGGAGGTCATGTAATCTAAATCTCATAAATGAAAAGGTATGTCACATTACTCAAAAAAACACAAACAGACAAACAAAAAAACAGAACACCAAGAAAGGCATATACAGCTCATGGCTCTTTCAAAATTGAGCTCTACTTTTAATGCTCGGCTTCCTTCATCTGAAATTTTCTAGATATGTTGGACTTTTACAGCAAGTGATAGGATGGTTTTATTCCATTTTATTTTATGCCTTCATAATTTGATTCATGTTGTTTTAGTCTTATCGTGGATGCATAAACATTGAATACTTTTGATTTTGCTCTTGTTCAATGTAAGCTATTGAAAAATCAGGAGGAATCTAGTAGCATCTATTATTAGTTATTCTGATTTTTTGCTGTCAAAAAGTAACATGGCTCTCCTCTCACATTGTAAACTACTCAAAATCTATGGAATTGCAGCAGGTATAAATCAGACCATTATATAAAGAATCCCCAGCCTGCTCAGCTAGGCAAGAAAGGCAGCTGGGTGACTTTGGGCCAGTCACTCTCTTTCAGCCCAACCCACCATATAGGGTTGCTATTGTGGGGAACACGGGAGAAGGAAGGTATTCATTGTTCATACATTCACCACGTTGAGTTATTTGTAAAAATAAGAAAGGTAAAATATAAACAAACAAAAAAATAGAAGCCATAATCCCAAAGTCAGTGAGGGTTGAGATCTTAGTAGTGGAGGGAAGCAAACTCTGTCTGGGTGTTTGATTGAAATCAGGGGTGGGATTGAAAAATTTCAGCAACCGGTTCACTGCCCGGGGCATGGCCTACTTGGCCTTCTGCACTATGGTGGGGGGGTGTTTTCGCCCTCCCCAGGCTCCGGAGGCTTTCCTGGAGCCTCCAGGAGGGCGAAAATGGCCTCCCCCAGGCACCAGAGGCCCTCAGGAGGCCAGAAACAGGCCCATTTCTGGACTTCCAGTAGGCCTGTTTTTTGCCCTCCCAGAGCCTCCGTGTGCGCCCTGCCCTTACCTGGCATACAAAATGGGCCACATGGAGACTCCTAGGATCGGGACTTCTTTTGCACGGTCACTCATGCCCTCGTTACTTCCCGCCTGGACTACTGTAATGCTCTCTACATGGGGCTCCCCTTGAGGAGCACCCGGAGGCTCCAACTGGTCCAGAATGCAGCCCCGCGGGTGATTATGGGGGCGACATGGTGCTCCCATGTAACACATCTCCTGCGCGAGCTGCACTGGCTTCCGGTGGTCTTCCGGGTGCACTTCAAGGTTTGGTTCTCACCTTTAAAGCGCGCCATGGCTTAGGGCCTGGATATCTATGAGACCACCTTCTGCCACCGATAACCTCCCACCAGCCAATACGCTCCCACAGAGACGGTCTCCTCAGGGTGCTGTCAGTCAAGCAATGTCGACTGGCGACCCCCAGGAGGAGAGCCTTCTCTGTGGGGGCATCCACTCTCTGGAATGAGCTACCCTCAGGGATACAAATGATCCTGGACCTCCGGGCTCTGAAGACTTTCTTGTTTCAGCGAGCCAGGCTGGCTTAAAATTTTAATTGATTAATTTTATGGGTAAGGGGTTTTAAAATTGGAAAGCCAAATTGGATTTAATTATTTTTAAATTATTTTAATTTTTATACTGCATGTATTTTAACCCTGGCTGTTCACCGCCCTGAGTCCTTCGGGAGAAGGGCGGTATAAAAATTTAATAAATAAATAAATAAATAAATAAATAAATAAATAAATAGGAGGGAAGGGGAAGGGTGGGGAGGAGTGGGTGGGGTCAGCCAGTCCTTGGAACAACCGGTTCGGAAAACCAGATTAAAATTAACATCCAGTTTGCCTGAACTGGTCCGAACCGGCTGAATCCCACCCCTGATAGAAATGATCTTTTACCTTCCTGTCTACTTATCTCTATTGGAAGGAAATGGGACAAGATTATTGAGCATGCCTGGGGCCTTCATTCTGAACTGGGATAACTTCTCTGATGTAGAACTTTTAGAGCAATGTTTCCCAATCTTTGTCACTTGAAGATGTATGGGCTTCAATTCCCAGAATTCCCGAGCTAGCCAGTTGGGAAATATTGCTTTAGAATGCCTACAACTTCACAGTAGCTCTTAATGCAAAGACACCAGAGACCACTTGCTAGAGCTAGGCAGCCCTGACTGGTTTAAGCAGATACTTGTTCGCTTATTCATACAGTTCAGTTTCTAGAAAAACCATGCAGGTGAACATTCCTCCAAAGACAACAACTCTTCACCCTAGCTGAGCAAAAGCCTGCCACCCTTCTATGAGGAAATAGAGATAAACTGATAAGATGGAAGCATCGTCTCTTCCCAAATAGCTTTGGAAGGTGCACGGAGCCAAAAGCAAGGGAACTCTATGTCAGTAGTTAAGAGATATGGCAATGTACTTTTATTGGACCATCAGAATGTGCCCAATGGCATATCCATCCCTATTCAGGCCTTCCTCAAAGATCATGGAAATAGCCTTTGAGGGCTCAAAGCTGATGAATGCAAATTCCAGCACACTGCTATTTTAGACATCAGCTAGGGAATGCTTGAAAGTTTTGATGCCCCTTCCCTAAAAGGACTTCTTTACCAGTACAAAATTAGCCTAGGGAGGAAAAGGAGAGGGTTTTCAACTTTCTGCAATTCTGCATATTTGACATGAAAAAAAGAGTCTATCAATAAAATAGCTGTTATGAGAAGGCCACAAAATGGGAATGTCCCAATTGTTCCTTATATATCATTCCCAGCCTATTTTAGGCGGAGAAGTATTTTCCTTCCTCTCCGGAAATAAATGGAGACTTTCGCTCATTCAAAAGATGGATTTGAAAATGCAGGTGACTCAACATGGGGAGGGGAGAGGGGAAGGTTAAAATTGCATCCTGGAAATAAATCCTTGCTTGACCATGGAGTTCATTGGGAGATTTGGGGGCCAGTTCTTTCTTTCTTTCTTTCTTTCTTTCTTTCTTTCTTTCTTTCTTTCCTTTTCTTTCTTTCTTTCTTTCTTTTCTTTTCTTTCTTTCTTTCTTTCTTTCTTTCTTTCTTTCTTTCTTTCTTTCTCTTTCTTCCTTCCTTCCTTCCTTCTTTTTCTTTCTTTCTTTCCTTTCTTCCTTACTTCTTTCTTTCTTTCTTTCTTTCTTTTTTCAATCAATCAAGCTTATCTAGTTATTCTTGAGAGGATAAAAATTAGGGAATCTCTATTTTATTGTCTTGAGTTTCCAGAAGAAAGCGAAACATCAAACAGATGAGGAATCCCCTAGGCTTGTTTTATAATGTGTAAAATGTCTTTTAGTTAGAACATGGCTGGTTTAATATAGCTTTTTTGCAACCCCATGACCCCGTTCTTGCAATCTGAGAAAAAGCTAAGACTCAAAACAGATTTCTTTAGCCTGGCAGAAGTTCAAGGCAAATCCAGCATTCCTGTGAACCACAACCCCCCCCCTCAAAACTGGGATGATATTTCCCATTTGGGGAATGGTTTAATGATTTGAAAAGGGTGCCATAAGCTCCTGCAAGCACCTAATTCATCCCCTAAACATTCCCTAAACAGACAGAATGAAAAAACAGAACAGGTTTGACTTTGTCCACTTTGCCTGTTACAGTGACTTCATAGCTTAATGAGTAGCCCTCGACTTACAATTATTTGTTTACCAACCATTCCAAGTTCCTGTGGAAAAAAGTAACTTACAACCAGTCCCCAAACAGACAACTGTTGCAGCATCCCCACAGTCATATGATCAAAATTCAGGTGCTTGGTAAGTGGCATGTATTTGTAGTGGTTGCAATGTCCCGGGGTTATATGATTGCCATTTGTCAGCCTTCCCAGCCAGCTTCCAGCAAGCAAAGTTGACGGGGGAAACTGGATTCACTTAATGCCTACACACAATTCACCTAACAACTTTGGGATAAAATTGAGCACAACTCATGTACGGTAATGACTGTCTTGCTTAGGTCTCATTCTGGTCTCAAACCGAGTTTACTGTGGCGATGCGTGACCCAACAGTTGTAGGGGTGAGGACAAGTTATAAGTCACTTTTTCAGTGCTGTTGTAACTTGTTTAGATGGCTAAACAAATGGCTGTAAGCTGAGGACTACTTGTACTTAAATCCCGTTGTCTCTTGTACCACCCCACTCCTTGTCCTGATTGCTCCCACCTTCTCCGCTGACTGAGCTGTGCCAAAGAAGATGGGCACAAAGGCCAGCCAGACGATGCAGGTTGTGTACATGGTGAAGCCAATGGGTTTAGCCTCGTTGAAGGTCTCGGGCACGCCGCGGGCCTTGATGGCATAGACAGTGCAGGTAACCATCAAAACAATACTGTAGCTGAGGCAGGAGATGATAGAAAGGTCTGACATGTCACATTTGAGGACACCCCGGGCGAATTCTGGGTTGGGTGTATGTTGCTCTTCATAGTCAATGATGCTATGGGGTGGCTGCACCCCCAGCCAGATGACCACAGCCACAACTTGCACGGATGTGAGGCTGAAGGTGATTACCAGTTGGGAGGTGGGGCTGATGAATTTGGGTGGAGTCACTGACTTCTTGCCTTGCTCAAAGATGCGATAGATGCGGTTGGTTTTGGTCAGCAATGCTGAATAGCTGATGGCCATGCCCAAGCCAAGGAAGAGGCGCCGGAAGGCACAGATGGTAACACCTGGTTCAGCAATCATCAGAAAAGTGATGATATAGATGAGGAAAATCCCAGTGAGCAGGACATAGCTCAACTCGCGACCTGAGGCTCGGACAATGGGGGTGTCGTTGAAACGGATGAAGGTGATAACGATGAAGACAGTGCCAAGGATGCCCAGAATGGCCAAGAAGATGGGCAGAATGGCCCAAGGGGAGCTCCACTCCAGCTTGACAATGGGTGTTGGGCGGCAGGCTGTACGATTGAGATTGGGCCGCATGTCAAAGGGACACATTTCACAGTTGAACTCATCCAGTTGGTACTGGTAGCCATCACATAGCTCACAGTGCCAGCAGCAAGGAACACCTTTCACCATCTTCTTCCTCTCTCCTGGGTTGCAGGGGAGGCTGCATACTGATGTGGGGATCTCCTTCTGTCCACCTGACCACTGCATGTCCTCGATCTGTGGGAGAAGCAGAGAAAGTCAGAGAACAGTGATGGCCATTTATCTCAGGAAATCACATCTGTGTTTCAATACCCTGCAGGTTTTTCTTAGTTGATGGGATATGACAGCAATGTACTTGTAAGGCAGTCTCTCGATTAACTTATCATGAACATGATTGGGGTAAACTGGGGTTTGACTGTCTGGTGACAAAACTGGCCCAAACCAAACTCACTAGTACCATCCTCATCATTACCAGGGACACAGCATGTTGTGGAACCACGAGGGTAAACAACCTATCTAGAACTTCTCTAGCTTACTGAATAGTGTTATGTGAAAGCTTTGAATGACCAAAGCCATGATCGACAGCGAAGAGAATATTTACAGAGCCATTTGGTGACATAGATGTCACATGGAAAATTGCCAGCTGGAATACAAGAAGATTAAGAAGAGAAAAGCATGGATTAATAAATGAAATGAAAGAAGAATAAATATGTTGTGCATTTCGGAACCAAAGACAAGGGAAAGGACATAAAAGAGTACAATGAAAATGGTCTAATTTTATGGTCTGGAACTGAATATATTCAGAGAAGTGGAGGTATAGGTTGAATTGAACACTGGGATTAAAGGCTGAGAGGACTTCTTTTGAATTTAGGTGACATTTGGGTGATACTTTGATCTATCCTTAGAGAAGCTTCTAATAGGGAAAACATATTAAAATGGGCTCTTTTAATAGAAATAAAATATGTTTTTTTTCCTTTGGCATTTTCCCCCCAATTTGCTATCACCCCATTGTTATGGTCCAGGATTGTTGGAATACAAGAGCTTTCACACAAAGCACAGACTGTGCAGTGGGACTACAATATTGAAAGATTTTAACAGCAGTTCTTTGGATGATTAATTGTCCTGGGATCAGACCCATAAGCAGCCAATCAGGTATGTTCTATCATAGAAATGCATTAGAAGGAATATATATCGAAGAGTGGATAGCAGTTTCTCATTTGTTCTTGATAGTTCTCAATTTGGTACCTTAAAATAATGTACAACAATGTCCCGTTCAACATAATATGTCCCATTCACCATTCAGATCCATCACAAAGGTCATATTACAGATCCCATCTGCTGCAGAGCTTCATCTGACGGGACCCAAACCATGTGCCTTTTCTGCTGTGGCTCCTACCTCTGGAACATCATCCATCCCTGAGATGAGGTTAACTTCATCCCTGTTAGCCTTTTGTAAGGCTTTTCCAGGTAAATGTCTATGGAGATTCTCAGTCATCCAGGTCATGGTTGTCCCAAAACTGCTTTTTTCAAGAGTCAACTGGACTTTCTAGTTTTTCTTTGAAGATATTTTGCTTCTCATCCAAGAAGCTTCTTCAGCTCTTCACTCTTCGCTGAAGAAGCTTCTTGGATGAGAAGCAAAACATCTTCAAAGAAAAACCAGAAAGTCCAGTTGACTCTTGAAAAAAATACCTTTGGGATAGTTCTGCCAGCAACCCTGGGGATTCATAGGGAGCCTGTGCAATGATTTAGATGGTGCTCTCCTGCAATCTTGTTTTTAGTTATCTTAGTTGTTTTTATTTATTTTTAAAGTGTTTTAATAATTGCAATATTATTTTATGGTTGTTCACTGCCTAGAATCATGCTTAGTGATATGGACAGGTACATAGGGTAAATGTGTTATCCTAAGGGCTCCCCTTGAGGAGCACCCGGAGGCTCCAACTGGCGCAGAGTGTGGCCGCACGGGTGGTTATGGGAGCAACGTGGCGCTCCCATGTAACACCTCTCCTGCGCGAGCTGCACTGGCTCCCGGTGGTCTTCCGGGTGCGCTTCAAGGTTTTGGTTATCACCTTTAGAGCGCTCCATGGCTTAGGACCTGGTTATCTATGGGACCGCCTGCTGCCGCAAACGGCCTCCCACTGGCCGGTACGCTCTCACAGAGAGGGATTCCTCCGGGTGCCGTCGGCCAAACAATGTCAGCTGGCGGCCCCCAGGGGGAGAGCCTTCTCTATGGGGGCACCTACTATCTGGAACAAGCTCCCCCCGGAGATACGGAGGATCCCAGATCTACGCACCTTCCGCCGCGCTCTCAAGACCTTTTTATTTCACCAGGCTGGTCTGGCCTAACCTCTCCCATTCTCTTTTTAATGTAAATTTTAATATAAATTTTAATTTGTTCTTAACCTGGGGTTTTAAATTTGTCTTGGACTAAATTGATTTAATTCGATTTTACTTCTGCTCTTAAATTTTTGTATTTTATGTGTTTTATCTTGTGCCTGTTCACCGCCCTGAGTCCTTCGGGAGTAGGGCGGTATATAAATCAAATAAAATGAAAATGAATGAAATGAAATGTTAAATTAACAAACAAACAATAAACAAGTTGGTAAGTAAGATAATGTAAGGTAAAATTGTATATACTGTACTATACGAATGCTGGGAGGCATTTAACTAAAAGAGATGCTATGGCCAGGCACAGACTTTGGTAACTCTCAACAGGGCCAGCTCCCAGTTGAATTTTTCTTCAAAACCCCAGAGTACCCAATGGTGATTATTGCAAAGCAGAAGAGAAATTTTGAAAAGTAGAGGGCTAAAAATTCAACCACATATCCAAAGGCGGGCCCAGCTGCTCTACCATATCAGCTCGAGCGATCTACTGCTGAGGGGAGTCATATTTTCAGAATTATTTTTATAATGGGGAGAAAGGGTGTAAACATGATTTAAAGATGATGATGATTGATTGATTCTATGCTATGTCACTCACATTCAGTCGAAGGTATTCTGCCCACTGGCCAATGGCCTTGTATCCTGGGACCGTAGTATTTGTCAGCTGATACTGGAAAATATCATAGCGCCCAGGAGCATCTCCATTTTCGTTGAACATTACTGGTGTCCCAGCACTGCCTGCAGGAAGGAAAAGGTTGTAGTGTTAAAGGTTAAAGGTTACAGACGATACTCTAAAAGAGAAGGAGACAACTTTGTGCTGAGGGACACTGCCCAACAGAGGCTAGTGGGAAGAAGAGTTGTAGGCAGCCTCCAAGGTCAGATGTGATAGGCCATCTACTTGGAGGGTCTCAGAGATGTTTGGTTTGCTGTTGTGAAAACTTGGGTTTGCTATTGTGATGTGAGACACAAGAGGCTTAGGGTCTAAGCCTGTGAATTCTTTTTTTTAAGACTGTTTCCTGCTGCAAGCATTGATGGATAGAGAAAGCCACATATGAGTTTTCTCTCTCTCTCTATTTCTCTAGAAGATGGACATGTCCTATATTGGCAAGGATAGGACATGTTGAGTATGACATGCCTGCAAAATGTGCATGACAAATATGTTGACTTGGAGCCAGTGCTTTGCATCTTAACATGCAGCTTCCCCTTGTTTGTGACCTAAAGCTGTAGAATCTGGGGAAAGCTTTCTCGCTCCTTCCTGCCCTGATTGCTGCAAACTTGTACTTGCCTGCCAATTCATGATCACAGCCCTTCCTTGTTCTCAAACTTTGCTCAGTTCTCCATGTGCGCAAATGTAGAATGCCACACATGACACATAGCGATACAACCCAGCGTCTTGGCTGAAAAGGGGGTTCTCTGTCAATCTCACCATTGAAGTTGACCCCCAGAATGTAGTGCAGCAGGGTTCGCCCGTCAATGGGATCCATCTTGTCACACACCCCGATTTGGCCTGAACAGAGCTCCATATGCATGTTGTGCAATGCATGGGCCATGGCATAGACAGCGTCAATCACAAACTGCACCTTCCCCTCCTGCTCGTAAGTAGATTCTCGCCCAATTCGTTCATCTCCTGAAGAATGGGGGAAAAATAAGTCAAACCACTGGCAATTCTAAATACCCACTCATATTAAAACACTCTCTGGTGCTGTGAAAGCTTTTCCTTTGATTCTAGTCTCGGGCCTTCCTTCCAGAATTCAGCTGTGGTGGCACAGTGTTTAGAATGCAGTGTTGCAGGCTAACTCTGCTCACAGTCTGGAGTTTGATTCTGACAGGCTCGAGGTTGACTCAGCCTTCCATCCTTCCGAGGTTGGTAAAATGAAGACCCAGATTGTTGGGGGCAATATGCTGACATTGTAAGTCACTTAGAGAAGGAAATAAAGCATTATGAAGCAGTATATAAGTCTAAGTGCTATTGTTATTTCTTCCCCAGAGCAAGAAAGTCAGCTATCTCTTGCTCTGCTTTTTTCTTCTTGAGATGCAAGATTCTTCTTTTAATTTCCCTGGCCTTTTAAATGCTCTTTTCATTTTGCTGGCTGTGATAATTTGGTTACCTGCCTCATCAGAGCCATTCTATACCTTATCTCGAACATGCCGACTTTTCTTTTTCCAGAAAAATAGCTATCCAAATAATGATTCATATCTGGGCAGCATAGTAATTTCCTTTCATAAATTATATTGCATCTCCTGTTCTCAGATGTATTAACAATGCTACTTAGAAGGGGGGAAAGGTTTAATGCTATTCAATTTACTATAAGCAAAACATTCTGTGCATTTTTCCATTCTGAAGTAGAACATACCGTATTTTTCAGATTATAAAACGCTCCGGATTATAAGATGCACCTATCTTTTTTGGTGAGGAAAACAAGAAAAAGAAATCTGTCTCTGCCTCTGCCTCCCAGAAATTTTGCCTCATTGGAGCAAACAGCAAATGTCCTGCTTTACTTTCATTTTCATTTTTAGCATAGCTTGATTAGCACAAGAAAAAAAAATCTGCTCCCAGCAATTTACCTCCTTGAAGCAAGCAGCAGAGGCCCGCGCAGCAATAGGCAATGGCAATCCCTGCAGCCTGAAACAGCTAAGAGTCAGGAGGCTGATTCAACGGACAATCAATTTGTGCTAATTAGGCTGTGCTGAAGCTAAAATGGTCTGTTTCTTCTTGCTGCTTGCTGCAAGAAGGTAAATTGCTGGGAGGCAGAGGCCAAAGGGTGAGGGCCAGTGTGTGGGCGGGGCTACATTCAGTGTATAAGACGCACCCAAATTTGTTTGGTTAGATTTGTAACTTGCAGAGATTTTAACTTTTTTCCAAAGTAAACAAATGCATTTGTAATTTGAAGTAGTGCATTTACCATCCCTGAACTTTAAGTCCCCTCTTCTTCTTCCCACTTAAAATAGAGCAAGTCTGCTCTCCCTTTGTAGAAACCTGGGAGGCAAAAGTGGGAGAGAAGGAGGCTGGCTAGTGATGGCAGGAGAGGGACATTTCAATACTCCCAATACTTCCAAAACACAATCTCAGATTTTACCTACACTTGCATCCGAGTAATGGTGACAAATGTTATATGCCTTGAGGTTCAGGGGTGGGTCCTAAATTTTTTTACTACCAGTTCTGTGGGCGTGGCTTATTTTGTGGGTGTGGCTTGGAGGTCATGTGACTAGGTGGGCGTGGCTAGCTGGTCAGAGTCATTTCTGGAAGGTCCTCACACTTACAATCAGTCCTCGCACTTACGACCCGACTCATTTGTTTGCTTTTAACACTGATCAGCTGTAGGCCAGCCCTTTGAAGCCCCGTGGCAAGAGTTTAAACAGTTTTTTTCCCTCTAGTCATCAGCTGGGACTCAGGAGGCAGCAATAGATTGGGGGTGGGACCAAATAAAAGGTAAGAATAACATGGGGGGGAGAGCGGGGGGAGAACCGGTTCGGTGACGTCATATCGTCACCGCTACCGGCTCGGCCGAACCGGACCGAACCGGGAGGAACTCACCACTGTTGAGGTTGCATTTGGAGAATATTAGAGTGAAGGGAAATCTGCTTTCATACAGGTGCAACTAATCAGGACTTAAAGCTCCCTTATTCACTAATTGGGGCTGAGACAAGGGCAACGTCAAGGAGAAGATGTCATTTGTCAGTACAAACTGTGTACATGGGAACGGAGGTCAGGTTACATGTCATGATCAAGGCAAAGTGTGATGTGGAAGTGTGATCTGGACGTTTAAACTACATATCCTTATTTCATGTAAAGAATAATAGCCATTCACACTTTTAATTTTCCATGCTAGTCCTTCTTTATCTATTATCTCTCTATTGAGAATGCGAATGCCACGGGCAATATAAATTCAATAAATAAAATAAATAAATAAACAAACCAGGAAGATGGCTGGCGCACAAATTGAAAAAAGAAAAAGAAAAGAAATTGATACATATACTGGTGGAAGGAAATATTCACCATCAAAATGAGGATAAAAAGAAAGTGATTCAAGAATAATAACTATTCACGAGGCTGTCTATGAAAACCTGAAAACCTCCTTTCTCCATATCCCATTCTTTAGGACACTGATGCTAAACCAGATCGGCAGGTCTTTCTTTTTTTCTTGCCAGCTCCTGACTTTTGATGGATTTTTTCCCAAAGCAGTTGCGGGTATTTTAATTTTGCCTGTTTGCTTCCTTGAACAATTTGCGTAGAGACTGATCATTTCTGAGTTGCTGAGAGAGGGAGGCTGCTGAACATAATTTTTTTGGTCAACTTTTTTTTTCTTATTTTGGCAACACGGGCCATGCCCCTTTCCCATGCCCCTTCAATTGCCAGCAATTGCCACTAATCCTCTAATACAGCTCATCTGTCTGGAACCCGCACTGCATATTGGACATTAATACAATTGAGTGTGTCCAGAAATATTTCACAGGAATAGTCCTCCACTCCTCTGCTCGTAACAAAATACCCTATGCCACCAGTCTTGAAATTCTGAGCTTAGAAAATTTAGAACTACTCCGCCTTCGGTCTGACCTAAGGGTAGCTCATAAAATCATCTGCTATAAAGTCCTACCTGTCAATGACTACTTCAGCTTCAATCACAACAATACACAAGCACACAATAGATACAAACTTAAAGTGAACCACTCCAAACTCGATTGCAGAAAATATGACTTCAGTAACAGAGTTGTTAATGCCCGGAATGCACCACCAGACTCTGTGGTCTCATTCCAAAACCCCCAAAACTTTAATCTAAAACTGACTACTGTTGACCTAAGAGGTTTGTAAGGGGTGTGCATAAGAGCACCAGCATGCCTACCGTCCCTGTCCTAATGTTTCTTTTAATTGTACTCATTTTATGTATTCAATTCATGCTTATACTTATATATATATTATCTAATATGTACTCGATAAAATAAAATAAATAAAATAAAATAAAATAAAATAAAATAAAATAAAATAAAATAAAATAAATAAATAAATAAATAAATAAATAAATAAATAAATTTGGTGGAAGAGAAGAGGGTGTGGGAAGTTTTGGGGACCTTTTGAGATGGGCTTGAGAGATCAAGGGGAACAGATGGATTCTGACTGGAGAAGTCAGAGGGCCAACTAAAAACAGCATAGAAAAGGAGGCTGAATTGGATATTTTCCAGGAAAAAACAGTGCCCGAAGAAGAGGCAGGGACTCCTTGCTTTCTTTCTGTCATGGGATGGCGGGGGGAGAGGGACATTTGAAGTCTAATCTCTGTTCCCTGTGGAGGTGAACAATAGCCTACGGCTCGAAGCTCTGTGATGTTTTCTACCACAATCACCTCAAAAACAGGGACTGGGATGCAATTGCGGAATCATTCATTGGAGCAGCTATTCTCCGTATTAACTCTCCTTGCTTTATTCCTCCCTCCCTTCCTAGCTCCACACATCAGGAGTAGCCCTACCAGTACATTTGCGGTTCCCTTCATCATATTGGAACCCTGGGCGGGTTAGTTTACATCTGAAGTCTTCCTCCCAGAATTCAGCAAACCAGATATTGCGCCGATTGTTCTCCAAGGAACGGGTAGTGAAGTATTGGTCAAAACCTGGAAAGAGAACAAGGTCACGAATTTGCAGGCTCTTTTTTGTTTCCCAAAGAACCATCAACTTTTTTTTGAGGCAGTTGAATCATGATCAGCCATTTAATCCCACGTTATAGAACGTTAGTTTTACCCAAACCAAGCATGGCACTTTTAAATTAAACTCCCATGGATAGCCATGCCATGCAAACATAGGGAAGAAAATAACCATTGGTTTAAACTAGGACTGCCACATCTGGGCTGCAAGCTTATTGAGAAGGCTAGTTCACATATGCTACTAAGTTAAGGCCACCATATTATATTGGGTAGCAAAGCTCTAATCATGGAATCCTCTGTGTTCTCTGAGCTTGATTGTTTGATTGTGGATGTTTCATTATTTGATTAACATCTTCAGTGCTAGTGAGTATGGGGGTTTGTTCCCTGTTTAATTATAGTAGCTTGCCCTCCTAATATTGTTGGTGTGGTTTTCTCCTTTGTAGTTCCTTAATTAGGGTATTGTTTTCTGCTTGACTCTTCTTCATCTCTATTTATCTGGGTGTAGGCTGCTGGAGAGGCTGTGTTCTGGTCTTTTTGTTTCCGTCTTAACCTTTTTATTGTTTCCAATGGTGTATAAATGTGGCTTATTTCATGTGTCTGTTGATGGCTGATTTGCCTGAATGCCAAGCTTCCAGAAATTCCTAGCGGTTTTAGATTTAGCTTAGTCTAAGATGCTTACAGTTTTCCAGTTAAAACTGTGCTTGGGTCTGTCCATGTACTCTGAGATTAAGGATCTCTAGTTCTAACTTGCCATCAGCAGCAAGAGTTACTTTTCTGCCATCTACTGGTGTCCGTGATTTTTATGATCCCCAGCCATTGTTAAACTTTCCTCTACTGGTCAACATAGATGCCCTGCAAAATGAGTGTTAATAGGATTTCCCTCTCCCCCATTATTTTACTCTTTATCCATTCAGTAGTGTGGAGGTAATGAAACAGACAGAAAAAGGATGGAGGTAGGTAGAAAAAACAACCCTGTCTTTTCAGGAAGAATAACAAATGCAGAAGTGACATTCATTCTGGGGGATATCTGCCACCAGTTTTCCCAGGTCAATGCTGGTCATTTTCTACTAGGTCTCAGGAAGGAAAGTGAATCTTGGAGTCATGGCAGAGTGGACCAGCTGTATCATGTGACCTCAGCCAGTTTGTGTTTCTCCCCGCTCTCCCAAACCGAATGCTGCTGCTCTCTTCTGCTCCGTTTAAGCTTTTGTTACCTTCAATCGAGGCTCTTTTAGGTAAGATGGTCACTGCTCCTTCAGCCACTTCCTCTTGCATCAGAATGGGGGAGATCTTGGAGCCCCAGCTGTCGGAGCCTACCCAGAGGAACTGCCCTGTCAGATTGGCAAAGCGGGAGGCTTCCAGCACTCGTCTGCAAGGGTGCAATGGAAAAATGAGAGGTGTTCATGACTAACCCCTTAAGCACAATAAAACATGCCTTGTCAATCACCTTTTTTTGCTGAGTCCCAATGATGTTGTGTTGCATGGACATCTTATCCCCAGCTCCTGTGTGAGCTAAACTTGAGTCTACTTTGGCCATACCAGTGTTTTGCTCCTTATTCCAACTGATGTCAGGAAGGCCTCAAGATCTGTATGATCTGTTAGGCTCTGTCTAACATTACATAGAAAAGTCAAGGGACTAGCAGTGGCTGGGAACCAAAACTCTTGGGGTCTTCAGTGGGGACCACAAATTTCACACTGAAGTAGTCTTCTGCAAACTCAAGACTGACTGGAGACAGCTGCACCTCAACCACAGGGAAAATGTAACTAGTGAATTCAGAACTGCAGCTATAAGCCACCATGTAGTTAATTCTAGGCTAGGACAAAATACTATTACATGCTGTGCTGAGCCAGGAATAGACACCTTTCTTTTCTAACTTGGGAGGTGAACAGCAATTTATTTATACATTTACGGGGGAAACAAGAGACATATCTAATGATGGAAAGACATTGGGAGATGGTGGTGTGTAGAGGGTTGTGGGAATATATTAAATATAGTAGAGGTTAAAGACAGATCTAATATTTTATGAAAAGTTACTGAAAATTATGCAGCTGCAAATGAGTGATTTTGTTGACAGATTTCAACAGGATGATCTGCTGTGACCTGGGAGCTAGAAAATAGGAACTGTCAGGGCAACTCTGGATTTGAAATTGCCTACTCCCTGCATGATGTGTTTTGATCACAATTTTTTGATCTAGTGTAAAACTCATGAATGAATTAATCACAGTTTAGTTAATTCTTGGTTCGAATTTATTCCTTTTTACTGCTCCTATTGTGTACCTCTCTGGATTGATGAGAGATTGGACCACAAAATCCAACCAGACCAAACTAGGAACCATAAACAAACCACATACTTGCACATCAGTTGAACTAGGCAAGCTAAAAACACACCATACTTTCAATGTAATTTAATTTAATCATTCCCTGAATAGTTTTCGTTTGCATATCATATTAAACTGAAAATAACCTCAGATTTAGCCATCCTATTCCCTTGATAATTTTGGACTAGATTAACCCACTGTACTGGGTGCTGTACTGGGTGCTGTACTGGGTGTACTGGGAACCTTTGGAAGGAAGGCAGAACACAAATATACAAAAGAAAAAAAAAGCAGATGGCGCATTTACTTGATGTCGTCTTCATTGGCAAAAATGATGATGCCGCGGGCATTGGGGGTCTCCATCAGTCTCTTGATCATTTTGTTAAACTCTCCTGGCTTGGGTTCTCGTGGGATCTTTATGGACTGGGCAATGCACACTCCACCTGCCAGGTAGGAAAAAGCCTTAGGAAATGATTGGGAAAACTTGGTTGAGCATCTGCCTTATACACAGAAGGTGCAACATCTTCTATTTAAAGAGAAGTTGGTTGCAGATCATGGTGAAGTCTCATGGTGCCTGACATCCCGAAGGCTGACTGTTGCTTTGAGTAACAAAAAACCTTGGTCTACATTGGCAAGTCATCTGATCTGGAATAAGACCCTTTCTTGTGTTTCCACCCATGGGTGGAATCATTAATTGGTTCTGGGAAGCATGGTGAGTATCGAAAATGATGAGTACCAAACAAATTTTTCCCATAAAGAATAATGTAGCAAGTCACAAACCAGCCAACACCGACAGATTCTCGCTTGTGAGTTGAGTACCAAACAAACAATGAGTACTGGGGCAAAATGTTCATGTCAAAATGTGTTGAGTACCAAATTTTATGAGTTCCAAAGCAGTTGTGTACCAAGGCCCTACTGTATTAGCTTATATTTGAAATTTTCTATATGCTCACTGTGGGGGGGGAGGGAAAGGATCCTGGAAACCAAATAAGCCTACAAAGTACTTGCTGCCAACAGAAAGTGTGAAAACCACTAGTTTATTCCTAAAAATAATTTGGGAAAAGGAGGAATTCTCAGAAATTAGTGGCTTGCGTACGTAAGAAGTAAAGATAGAATCTTTGTTGAATTAACCTTGACTCCTTATGACTAATATTGTATGTCCTTGTAGATATTTTGGTAACAATACAGAAGTGGTTTGCTACTGATATCAGTCAGTAGAGATCAGTCACAGGCTGAAAAAAGCAAAACTCACAGACTTATCCGTTTCACACAAATACAAAATCTCAGCCCATATTAACCAAACTCAACTGCTCATATTTCCATAACTCTTCTGATGACCATATTTTTCAGTTTACTTAATGACCTAGAGGCTAAGATAGCAGAAGACATGTTGCACCCCAAATCCCCAACTCCATTTTACTTTAGGTTAAAATGTGATGATGGTGACCCAGTTATCGAACAATAGATATAGAAGAAATGTTGCATGTGACTTGCTCTGTTGAGCTGCCATAATCTCACATTCCATCATGTCTGGCCCATCAGCCATGTCCCTCTCTACCCTCGCCTCCTCCATTGGCAGCAATCCAGAGCACAGCGACTCCAGAATCAAAAGCTCATTTGTTCCAGTGAGGACCTGGCCTAGGATTCAGGTGTGGGACTTTTTTTTTTCATTGCCTTTGCAGGCTGCAAAAATAAGAGCCAATCTCTGATCCCATGCAGAGTGCTTTTCCCTGCATATGGAACAACTGCAAGCAGCTTTCATGTGTCTGAGAAGATCATGGGCTGTTTTTTCAGGGAATTAGCAGCTTTACTGATCCCCATCCATCAGCTTCAGACATTGCTCAGCATCTCTTACCGGCTTCCCGGGAGATCTGCACAAAGGCATCGACCCCACTCTCGCCATAGTTGCCCTCAGAGGCCAAGGTGGAGACATAATTCCAGCCTAGTGCTTTAACAATGTCTACCATAGCTTGAGCTTGATAAGAGTCAGGAGGCACCACACGGGAGAAATAATCGTAGCGGTTATTGTCACTGAGCTCCGGTGCTGTGGACGCGTAGCTTATCTGGGGAATCTGTAGAAGTGGAAGAAAATCATGGGTTAGAAGTGGTGTGTTACCCTTAGCCTCCATCCTTGAGTTATGCCAGAGATCTTCCTCTCCAGCCCTTCCTTATCCATTTAGTCCTATTTCTTTTGTAAAAAATATTTCTGTACTGCACCATCAAAGGCTCACCAAGCTCACATCTTGTCCTCCTCCCTATTTTTATTTTAATCCATTGTGTTTTATCGAATCCTCCCAGTACTGACACAATATTAAGGCTAAATGGTAGCTTTTTTGTTACAAAGCAAAAATGCTCTTAAGAGATGGGGAGTAATGACCCGAGTGAGGCTTAAGCTTCTTTGTCGACTGATTTATGGCATATAGTATGGCTCCCATTAATAGTCACGAACACAAAGTAATAATTACCATAACTGTGTGAAATCTTAGATCCATTTTCACAATATCTAATTTTCTTTTTTCTTTCTCCCCCCCACCCTCTGTTGCTTAGATTTTATTTTATTCAAAAAGTTAAAATACGAACTTCAAAAAAAATCACACAGACAAAACAAAACCGGACAAAACACTTTTCTGCGTTAACAGGAAAAAAAGAAAGAAAGAAAAACACATATACATATATTTTCACAATAGGAAAAGGAAGCTGTGGATTCAACAGTGAAATCACAAAATGTTAAAGGCCGAGAAATATTATAAAATACTATCGTTTTTAAAATATTAGAATAATTGTTTTTTTAAAAAGCTTTGCTAGCCTATAGGCATAGCATGCAACATACAGTATCTCCAGAAAGAAATAATTCCAGGATGCACTGTAAAATGTCCCCTTTTCTGGTAAACATTTCCTTACTTCATTTGGTGGGGACATCAGAGTTAGCCTCAGTGTCAGCAGGCTGCATTTAAAAAAATTTCATGAGCACAAGAAAAGATGACATTCCTCCTGCCCAACTGGTTTAAGCACAATCTTTAACAGTAGCTTTATTCAGGCAACAGGCTGGCTTGTAGAGTAAAACACCCAAACCACAATGAGCAGCTCCTACCCTTCCATAACTTCAGTAATAATAATAATAATAATAATAATAATAATAATAATAATTTTATTTCTATACCGCCCTTCTCCCGAAGGACTCAGGGCGGTGTACAGCCTATTTAAAAACACAGAACAAAACAACGATTAAAATTTAAAATCATTAAATAATTAGGCTCCAATTAAAATCCCAAAAATTTAAAATACCCCAATTTAAAATCGTTATGTTGATAGCCCAGCCTGGCGGAATAACAGGGTCTTCAGTGCGCAGCGAAACACCCGGAGGTCGGAGATCTTACGTATTTCCGGGGGCAGTTCATTCCACAGGGCTGGGGCTCCCACAGAGAAGGCCCTCCCCCTGGGTGTCGCCAGCCGACATAACTTGGCCGATGGCACCCTGAGGAGACCCTCTCTGTAGAGATCCAGTCTCCATAGATACAATGTGATGCTCACCAGTGGGGAAAATTCTTGCACATGAAGGTTCCTCAAAGTTTTATCTCCTTTGGAAGCTTTTGTGTATATGCAGAGCTTCCTTGCTGCAAACAATGCGGCTCAGATGAAACCACACTATGATTTAGGATGCTATGAATTATTGGGCCATTGCTGAGTTCCTAAGACTTTCTTATGCTCAGAACACTTTTTAAATGCATCCTGCCAAATTAGAATGTAAATGAAAAGTAGACACTACCCAATCATTTAAAAAAGTTGGTGTCAAATATTGCTAATAGTTATTGCTAATTATTGCTAGCAATTGCTAACTATTAAAATCATTTTAATAAACTTCTTGTTAGTTATAAAATTGTAGCCATTCTGAGTTGGAAGGGTTCTTTGAAATGACTGGGTTTAACTCTTTGCTCCCTGCAGGAATCCAAATTAAAACATCCCAGATAAATGGCTATTTAGCTTCTGTTTGAACTCATCAAACAGAACTCATAGCTTCTGTTTGAATTCAAGGGGAAACCAGCAGGTCTTTGGGTAGCTGTCTCTACTGCTGAACTATTTTTAGGGAGGGGTTTTTTTTTTTGCCTCTATAATTCCAATGGAATCTGCCTTGTGTAGACCCAGAATTTTCAGCAGTGGTTATGTTGACTGGGAAATTTTGGAAGTCACAACATCCAACCCATCTGGAAGTTTCCATGATGGAGAAATACTATTCTATGTCATCCTTTCTAGTACTTGATGATGCTATCATATCCGACATGTGTTTTCTCTTCTCCAGGCTCAGCTTACCCAGCTCTTTCCATCTTTATTGATGAAAATATTTATTTTTCCTACAGATATTTTTTTTCTGTGCTTTGAATTTTACACTTCATTTTTTTTTCTGTAGAACCACAATTGAGTGTCCTGCAGCATCCTCCCAAACAGGCACTGACTTTGCAAATGCACCCTTTAAGGAGGGGCGCCATCTTAAATACCATCTCCTGGGACAGGAATCCAGATATTCCCTGGGAAGGTATAGCTGCTATCACCTCTTTGCTGTTCAACCTCCTTCCCCCAAGTGATGTCATGTGAAAGGCCTGTCTTCTACTTACAGCAAAGAGGCGAAGGACGTTGGCCACCATAATAGAGACAGAGCTGGCAGAGGCCCCAATGACAGCCACCACCCGCTCTGGTTTGGCAATGATAGGTGGCTCCCCATTGGAGCAGCGCACATCGTAAATGTCCTTCTGAATCAGTGCCTGGACAAAAGTCAATGATTGTTCCAAGGCATAGGTGTCACGAGAGCAGGTATCCAGGATACGGGCCCCCAAAGTTATGTTGGGAAGCAGATCAGGGTCACTGTTGATCTGATCCAGAGCGTAAAGCATGGCCTCCATCCGATGGATCCCCTTTTCCTTCTTCACCTCCCCACAAGGTACTCCAGCTGGGCCACGGGAATGCACAGGAAACAGACCTCCGAGAGTGATGTCTCCTTCTATCTTGATTGAATGTGGCTGGGTGGCTGCTTGGCTATGTACCCCTCCTGGGCCGGATCCTAAGGCCCACAATGACCAGAACCAAAACAGAGGGACGTTAGTAGGCTCCATGATGGCTTGCTGTCTTTTTGTGATCTTGGGATGGCTACAGCCTACAAACAGAAGAAGGAAAACATAGAATGGAGCTGGGTTCAAGTCTCATTCCAGCACCCACTAAGATTTGCTATTCTGAGACAGATTAAAAGTTAAACAGTGCTAAAAGACGAAGAGGCGATAAGGAAAGTTTTGGACTGTGCAGAGATGGACAAATTGACGAAAGAAATAAAAAGACAAAACGGAATATTACTTAATATGGGAAAAATGGTACAAATGGTTAGAGGACAGGAATAACAAACAAGAAAATATATAATAGAGATGATTTAGAAATCAGGAAGCATTAATAAAATGATATTAAACATAGAATATATGTAAAGTAACATATGTATATAATAGTATGTATAATAAGTAAGGAGTAGTATATATAATATATAAGAAATAAGGGAACCACAAAAATAATTATATGAATATGTAGGGGGGAGGAAACATAAACTATGGATATATACCGATACGGAACTGATGTAAAATGGAAATTTTTCTTTTGTTTTTGTTTTTAAAGAATTTTTTTTAAAAAAAAAAAGTTAAACAGTGCTCTTTCCCTCCTGGATATTTCATTTAAAATCATTGACAGATCCATGCCCAGGAAAGGTTTTCTGTTTAAAATGAGGATATACAAAAGTTCTTCCTTTAGAAGCACTTATGGTCTACTCCACTATTTTTTTGGAAATGTAGTTGTGTACAAGCCAAAGTAATATAGAGTATAAATAAATCAAAATCCATGTGTGAATAAGGCTTTGTTCAAAAACTGACACTCAAACAATCGAGCAAAACATCAAATTCACCTATAGTTTTGTCTCAGAGCACCTGAACATTTTTGCCCTGATCTCCCTAGGCTATAGCAGAAGTTCAGGTAGAATTTGATCATGATAGAATCGTTCTATCCTTGCTCAGCTGTAACCCCTGGACGCCTAATTTTTCTTCACCAAAAATCAGTTTTCTGTCATTTGTTCCTCTTTAGACAGTGCAAACAATGTGAAAACAATACGGTTGGCCAATTTTGCTAGGTTTAATTGCATTTCCTGAGCTGGGGAAAAAAATAATAATTCCCTTGTGCTGGAGTTCTCACTGTATGATAAGCTTCCCTAAGGGCACCCTAGAAACTGTGAGAGGAGCTGTATGATCTGGTTCAGGGCTTCTGGCTATTGAAAACGGAGCTGCTGATCAGGTTCTCCTGACATTGGAGGCAGTGATAAATCCCAAAACATTTTCCCCCAAGAGTAAAACTGCCGCAATAAATCTAAAACTTACTTTCTTTTTAGACCCCAAAATTCTTCTGCAGCTTCTGCACGCAGCTCATAATACCTCTAACCTTGCTTTATTCACCTGCTAGGGATGGTTTCTTTACCTTTTGAGGAGGGGTGAGTTTTTTCTATTTATCCTGGGTTTACTGGACAATTCTCTTTTTAGGGAAAAATATAATATAAATGTTTATAGATTTTTTAAAAAAAATATGGTTATTTAACATAAATTAAAACATTATTAAAATGAATAAATACATTCAGTTGTTTGCCAGGGTGGTTTTCAGCATTTGCAATGACATGGGAGGTTTTTTAACATTTGCCGAGTCTAACCTGCTCAACATTTATTCAATTGCAAGCATCAGTTGAAATGTTGTACTACCCATTTTCTCCCTTATTTATTCTTTCCCATTGGCCACATTATCGTCACACCCATCCCATTGGGCTTGATGATAATGTGATGACAATTACGACAGGATACCAATTTTTTCCACCCTGCGGCTTCATATTGTCCAGTGATAGGACCGGCTTTGTATTGGCAGTTCTGGTGGAGGCTTGATGAATCCAGATATATGGATGGCGCCTTGAAGGGAGTTCTCTGCAGTGGTGGGTTTCAAAACTTTTTACTACGGGTTCTGTGGGTGTGGCTTGGTGGGCGTGGCATGGCTTGGTGGGCGTGGCTTGTGGGCATGGCAGGGGAAGGTTACTGTAAAATCTCCATTCCCACCCCACTCCAGTGGAAGGTTACTGCAAAATCTCCACTCCCACCTCATTCCAGGGAAAGGTTACTGCAAAATCCCCATTTCCTCCCGATCAGCTGGGACTTGGGAGGCAGAGAATAGATGGGGGCAGGGCCAATCAGAATTTTTACTACCGGTTCTCTGAACTACTCAAAATTTCTGCTACCGGTTCTCCAGAATTGGTCAGAACCTGCTGAAACCCATCTCTGGTTCTCGGTCATAGCCATATCTCCTAACTGTGAAGGATTCGCTAATTGTAAGATGTGATGGGGTGGCGTATGTGTGTGTGTGTGTGTGTGTGTGAGAGAGAGAGAGAGAGAGAGAGAATTTAAACATGAACAGGCTTGCCTAGACAAAGCTTAAAGATAGCCAACATGAGCTGAAGAAGCTTCTTGGATGAGAAGAGAACCATCTTCAAAGAAAAACCAGAAAGTCCGGTTGTCTCTTGAAAAAGCACCTTTGGGATAGCCAGCACTCATTTTTTTGCTTTTGGTCCCCATGTGCTATACAGGCTAAAACTTCATTATTAAATTTATTTATTTATTTCCCATGTTGCTCATAGGATTACTGAGTATATTTATTTCTTTCCCAACCAAATCTTTGGTTTTATTCATGGGTATGTCTATGTACAATTTCCTTTATCATTGGGGGGGGGGCATAGTAATGCAAAGTTTGAGGCTCCCTGCCTAAAACGCCTCCTCTCCTCTCCACAGCTTACTTCCCTACCCCCCTACACATGTGTGTGCGCCCTCTGTATGTGCCCCGCCCCTCCGCATGCGCAGCAGAGACCCGAAGACCAGCTGGCCAGTGGGAGGTGTGCGTGCATGCGCAGTGGAGCTGAACTGGGGCGATGGCTCATGTGCAATCTGAGAGGGAGCTGTGTGCCACCTCTGGCACCCGTGCCATAGGTTCGTCATCACAGTGCTAGAGTCTGATTTGAGGCACAGAAGAGCATTCTCTCAGCATAGTCCAAGTGGATACATCCAGCACTAGAGAAGGAGTGCAGCCATCTTCATTGGGAAGAAGTGAGGCTGCTGAAAGGTTTCTGCACTGCAGATTCTAACTGGGCCAGAAGAGTTTTCCCTTATCTGCCTGTCTGCCCAGCCACCCTTTTATCCAACTAATGTCTTTTTTTCCTCCCTTTCTGCTGATCTGATCTTTCCTTGGATCAGTTTGCCCAAGATGGCTAAAAACCTCAATTAAAAGAACAGCCTAACCATTTTAATAACAGCTGCAAAGCAACCATCACATAGGGGAGGGAGAAAATGAAAATATAGTAACCATAAAAATAATGTAACCACCAGTGGTCTTAAACCTTTTTAAAAAAGAAGCTTTGGTACTTTGCACAAGGCTATTTATTATTATTATTATTATTATTATTATTATTATTATTATTATTATTATTTATATTTCTAAACCGCCTTTCTCCCGTAGGACTCAAGGCGGTGTACAGTCAAAAAATATATAGACACACAAACATCATAAAATTGCTAATTAAAATTATTACTTAGTTTGGTCAATTAAATAAAACCCAGAATTAGATAACATTTAAAAAATTCATTCACATGTTCATATGTTTAGCCCCGCCTGTTGGAACATCAGGGTCTTGAGGGCACGGCGGAAAGCACGGAGATCAGGGATATTCCGTATCTCCGGGGGCAGTTTATTCCAAAGGGTTGGAGCCCTCACAGAGAAGGCCCTCCCCCTGGAAGTCGCCAGTCGGCATAATTTGACTGACGGTACCCTGAGTAGTCCCTCCCTGTGAGAACGAACTGGTCGGTGGGAGGCTATTGGTGGCAAAAGACGGTCTCGTAGGTCCTTCCCTTCCCTTCCCTTCCCGTCCCGTCCCGTCCCGTCCCTTCCCTTCCCTTCCCTTCCCTCCCTTCCCTTCCCTTCCCTCCCTTCCATTCCCGTCCCTTCCCGTCCCTTCCCGTCCCTTCCCGTCCCTTCCCATCCCGTCCCGTCCCGTCCCGTCCCATCCCGTCCCGTCCCGTCCCATCCCATCCTGTCCCTTCCCTCCCTTCCCTTCCCTTCCCTTCCCTCCCTTCCCTCCCTTCCCTTCCCTTCCCTTCCCTTCCCTTCCTTTCCTTTCCTTTCCTTTCCTTCCCCCCCTTCCTTTCAGTTCTTTGTGTTCTTGATGGTCCACCTGCATACATTTCATTTCATTTCATTCATTTTATGAATACATTTACATCATGCATATTTGAACATTTGTAATCTTCATCATAAACTGCCATGAAGGAAGGCTTTCATTATAACCTCAAGAATCACCCAGTTCAAAAAATAAAGCTGTTTTTTGCACTCATACAATTAACCCCGTTAATAGTGTCTCCTTAGACTAAGGATTCACCTGTTGCGATGTTTGTATTATGATAAGGATTATTCTCCTCTCTTTGTCTAAAATCTCTACAATCTGTATAATATTAGGTTAATATATCTATCGTCATGGAAGGGATTGTGTTGAGAAGCAACCTGTCAAGTGAACTATGGATTTTTGCCTTCTCCTTTTACATTCGTCTAAGCAGCCGCATGGACACCAGGGAATAAGAATGGTTGCTTGCCCATGTCAGGCATGTGTCAAATTGGGGCCAGGAGTTTTGAACACAAACATCAGCTGGGAGCAACTGAGAGAGAGAGAGAGAGAGAGAGAGAGAGAAAGCAAGAAAGATTTTGGAGATATGGTCTAGTAGTAGCCTCCAGATAGTTGCTAGGCTAGACATCTCAATGCATCCAAGGGACTTTGAGTTGGAGAAGGCTGTGATATCTGAATGGTGACTCATTTTCTGAAAGTGAGGATGTTGAAACAGTGAGGGAGGGTAAGGAGGAGATACTTGGGCTGATCGTGCAGTAATATGTGTGAGTGAATGTCAAGCAAAGAAAATGAAGCTTCCCCCCTCCCCACTTCTGATTGTGTGACTTGGTGCTGGTGTAGATCGCTTGAGGGAGATGGGCAGTTTAGAAATATGAAATATAGATAAATAAATAAATTTTACTAAGCCACGTTCAGGGAGCAACAGG